CAGAGAGCTGTTTTCTTACCTGACCTGCTGCCCAATAACAGTGGTTAAAATTACCTGATAAATATAGTTATAAAAGTTAAGGCCAGCTGGGCGGTTGTGGCGCACGCCTTTAATCCCAGCACACAGTAGGCAGAGACAGGCGGATCTCTGAGTTCAAGACCAGCCTGATCTACATAGTGAGTTCCAGGACAGCCAGAGCTGCACAGAGAAATCCTGTCTCAAAAAACAAAACAGCCGGGCGGTGGTGGCGCACGCCTTTAATCCCAGCACTCAGGAGGCAGAGGCAGGCAGATCTCTGTGAGTTCGAGACCAGCCTGGTCTACAGAGCTAGTTCCAGGACAGGCTCCAAAGCCACAGAGAAACCCTGTCTCGAAAAACAAAACAAAAAAAAAGTTAAGGCCAATTTTCTCTCCTTGCTAGGGTAAAAGGAGCAGGGATAGATGAGCATGCAGATGTCTCTGTAGTAAAAGACATTCTTTGGGCACCTCCCTAGCCTACAAGTGGGATAGCTGGTCATAAGGGAGTTCTGTGGTTTCGTTTTTTTTTTTTTTTTTTTTTTTTTTTAGAAGCTTCCACATTTCTGTAGTGGCTGCACTCACTCACACTCCCATCACTGAGTTAAGAGTCCCTCCTTCTCCATATCCTCACCAGTACTTATTGTCATTTTCTTGGTTACCATTCTTACCCCAGAGTGAGATGGAGTCTCAAAATAGTTGTGATACATGTATACAATAGAATTTTATTGAGGAGTAATAAGAAAAATAAGATTATGAAATTTTCAGGAAAATGGATGGAACCGAAAAACATTGTTTAAGTGAGGTAATCCCTGCTCAAAAAGACTATTCCACAAGATTATCTCCTATGTACAGATCATAGCTCCGGCTGTTAAATATGTGTAGTCATGTGGGAGACATGTGGGCAAAGGCTAGGGAACTAAAAAGACGAGGGGAAAGAGAGAGTCTCTAAGGGAGAAGAATGAGAGAAAAAAATAATAGAGCAAAGTAGAAGGATTAATAATACTGAGGCCAGACAGGCACAGTGGTGGGTGAGGCAGAGACGGGGTGAGTGTGGGGGGTGAGAATCAATAAAAATGAACTAGGTGTCAAAACCCCAGATGGAAACCTATTATTTTGTAAACTAATTTTAAAAATAAAAGAGTCACAAGTTGGCTCAAATGAGGTAAACCTGAATTCAGTCCCAAGGATCACACAGTAGAAGGGAAGAACCAACTCCTGAAGCTTGTTCTCTGGCCTCCACACTTGTAGTGTGCGCACACACACACATAATAAATAAATGTAAAAACTTGAAAAAAGTAGCTTTCATAATATCTTTATTAGGCTGCCATTTATGCTACTCCCATTAAAAAGAAGGCCAGTTAAAGTGGGGGAAGTTAATGTGTAGTGAGGTAGATGGTCCAGTGGATAGAGCACTTGCCCCACAAGTGTGCGGGCTTGAGTTCAGATCCCCAGAATCCACATTGAACTGGGCGTGCCAGTATACATCCATCACTCTAAGGATGAAATGGGAAGTGGAACATAGGAATCCCTAAAAACTGGAGTGTTAGCTTCCCTTGTTCATGCAGTGGTAAACAATAAAGAGACCGGTCTCAAAAAAGTGGAAGGTAAGGGCTGACACCATGCATATTGTGGCACACTATACACCCAAAGGGTTAGAGGGGAGGTTTTTGTTTGTATAATTCCAGAGCTTTTCACAGCTGATAGTCAAGTGATTCAGCCACTTCAGAAAATAGTCTATTGCGTTTGAAAGAGTTAAACATACAGTTTCCATTTGACCAAGCAATTCTACATTTAGCTATCTACACGAGAGCAGTAAAAGTATGTGGCCATTCAAACATGTGAACATGAGTGTTCAGCAATATTATTCACAGCAGTTCTAAATGGAAACAACCCAGATTTCTATCAGTGGTAAAGTGAAAAAGCAAAATGGGGTCCATCTACATGGTAGATGGCTATTCAGCCTGGGCAAAAAGGTGGTTTGTTGAACCTTCAGAGTGTAGGCAAGGAAGGAGCTTCCAGACACAAAGGGTTGCACACCATGTGGTTCTGTTTGTATAAAATATTGGAGGAATAACTCTTCAGAGGCAGAGAAGTTGGAGGGAGACAGAGGAAAATGATGGCTAATGGCCTGAGGTTTATAGGGGTGAGTATTGTACAGTTCTGTAAATGCTGAATAGTCATTGAACTATACGCTGTAAACAGGTAAGTTGTGTGCTATAAATTAATTTTTAGTAAAGCTCCATTAAAAAGAAGTTAGCTATAAATGAGAGAATTTAATTTTGGAACAGTTTCTTCCCATCTCATTGAAAGCCCTGTGAGTGGATTGGGCTCTAGAACCATAGCTACCCCTTCCTTCTATAGTATTCTCTGATTGTTCCTAGTTGTATATGTGTCAGGATCCAGTAATCCCCCCCCACACACACACACACTTCTGATAAGGGGGCAGTGGGAGAGGCATCAAAGACACTAGTTAAAAGTGAATGCTAATTTCCTCCTGTCCTATCCTAGTTTATGTCATTCTTTCAGCCCTGGCTAGCCCGGTTGTCCTTAGACTTTCATCAGTCCTCTTGCCTCTGCCTCCCAGGTGCTGGGATTACAGATGTGTGCCGACTTACAGTGCCTACCTGGTTGTTTTTACCTTCTATGGACCATTTTGTAACCCTTTCTAAAGGAAATAGAGCTGAGGCCCGGGAAGTAGAGAGGTTGAAAGGTTAGACCATAGCGATACTCAGCTCTAAGTTAGGGTCTTCTCATGGTCAAGTGTCTAGTACAGATTGTTGCTGTGCAAGAGGGGAAAGTAGGGCTGTAGGGACTTGAGCAGTTTGGTGACACTGAATCCTTGAATGGCCTAGTGGCCAATCTCTTGAGAAAGAAATAACAAGATTTTTGTTGATATGTTTTATCATCCCCACATATCACTTGCATGATATATTGTCATATTTCATACTCTATTGACATAGATCTGAAAGCCATCATGGCCATTGCTGTGTTGTTGGAGTGTTGTTGTTGTTTTGTTTTGTTTGAGACAGGATTTCTCTGTGTAACAGTCCTGGCTGTCCTGGAAGTTGCTTTGTAGACCAGGCTAGCCTCGAATTCACAGAGATCCACCTGCCTCTGCCTCCCAAGTGCTGTGATTAAGACCACCACATGATAGCCTTGACTGTCAGTACTTTAATCTCAAGGACTGGAATGGAGTTCCAACATCAAGGCAGAAGAGGCATCTCTTGCAGTTCTTTCTATCTGACCACCCCCTAGCTCTCTGCACAGCTTGTCATTCTGTCTTCCCAATACCCATAGCATTAGTTTTTTTCTCTTCTGTCTCAGAAATATGGTGTGCCTTGTACAGGGATGAAGAATTCTTAAAGCACAATTTAACCAAACCAGGTTTATGAAGCATACTAGAGAGGGCCAGTGATTAAAACTGACGTGGACTAGAAGGACTGGCACTGGAAAGAAAAGGCGAGGAAAATTAGGACCCTATCCTGGGTCTCTCCATCCAGAAAGACCAGGCTCTGAATCTAGGCAAGCCTGGGTATTAGACTACTATCTCTGTCCACTGGTCACCGAGAAGCCCTGCTGGGGTTGCAGGACTGCCTCTTTGGCAGAGCTGGGCTGGGCCCTCTTAATATACCCTTCCCGGGGGTATGTGCTCTTGAGCTCAAAGGCTCGCCAGTTAGGGGGTCCAACTTCCAGCCATGGGAAGGCTATCATGAACCTTGTGTGGGTAAGAACCCTCTATTCTGGTACTGTGTCATCCCTGTCATCATGGTGTGTGTCTTACACACACACACACACACTCCCTGAGTCTACATCAAGCAAGTTAGACACTCTTGGATCATTCTGATGACCTTAACTGGAAAGAGCTTGCCTAACACACATTTGACAGATGTAATTCATGGGTTGGTGGTTCTGAGCTCAGTGTGGGTACCCGGCCTCATTCCCTGCTCTGAGACAAGGCCTCACCCCCTTAGCCTTAGTCAGCAGGATCTTGGTAAAAAATGGATCCCATAGAGCTGTAGAGGAAGGCAGACCAACCGCTGCTCCATACACTTAGTGGTAAGAAAGGAAGCCCTTCAAGTAGTAGGCCTTGGGGAATTAGGTGAGAAGTTGCTGTCTGCCCCAAAGCCTACCCACCTGTGGCTTCTGGAACAGACTGACAGTGTTTCCCTGTAGGATCTGGCAATGTAAAAAATGGGCATGATAGGATACATAGCACCCTGTCTGCCTTCCCAGAACATCTGTGTTTGGGGGCCTTGTGAGGCTAACAGTTCTGGCTTCTTTTTGGAGACCTCTCACCAGCCCTTCACTTCAGTGGGATTCTCTCAACACCTTCCTTTTCTGATTTTAGTTTTCTTTATTTTGGTGTCTTAACTGTGCATTTTTGTGTCTGTGTGTGCATGTGTCTATTCCTAGCCCTTCAAGAAGTCTCTGTAGGGCTCCTTAAAGCCATGGCGTGTTTAGGTGTGGGTCTTTGGGTCTATTTCCCAGCCTCAGAGCTAGGGCTCAGGGATGTGGCTCTCTTCTGTTCACCTCCTTATATCTTTAAAAAAAAAAAAAAAAAAACCTCACCTTGGTATTGAATCTGAGACTAGGATCTTAGCCTCCTGTTCTCCCCAGCAGTCTTCACTGAGCTATTCTCTCACCGTCCTCCTCCTCCTCCAGTGCAAGCCAGGACACTGCTCTCCAAATAGGAGGTGAAATCCAGCTAGGTATCTTCTAAAAACGTCCAACTTGGTCTTCCCCACCATGGATGAGTGGATAGGAAGTAGTACTTGAGGGCCAAGGACTTTCTGTCTACCTGGCCTGATCCAGCACACCTGTCCCAAGTGAGTTTTCCTAGGGATGCTCACCCTCCTGGGCTTGGATCTAAGGAAGACCCCAGTGGCATTTGGGATTGAAAAGGAAGTCTGAGGTTTTGAAGGACTGCTGGTGGCTATGGAACCTGACACTACCTCTTTTGAATGACTTGTTTTGTACTTGCAGCCTACCACCCTCCCTCAGGGCACCATCAACATGAACCAGTGCACAGATGTGGTGGATGGGGAGACCCGCACTGGGCAGAAGTTCTCCCTCTGCATTCTGACGCCCGACAAGGAACATTTTATCAGGGCAGAGACCAAGGAGATTATCAGTGGGTAAGTTGCCCAGACCCACAAGAAGCACTGTCTGCTTGTCCACTCAATTCTCCAGATTCCAGGGCTGCTGAGTGTTCTTCAGAATTCTTCACTGGTTGGTGCCCACCACCACCACACACACACCCTCACACATCCTATGTAGCACTGAAAACTCCAGGTGATGCACATGCATGTATTTTCTCAGTGATGAATCCCATCATCCTATAAGGCTGAAAGAGGACAGGTGTGTCAAACCTTTGGAAGAAGTCAATCTGGGGTCGAAAGGAACAGACTGTAGCACGGGGTAGAGGGGGTGAGGACCTCTGGTTTGAGCAAGTACAAGGCCACTGGGAAAACTGCCTTCCTTTAACATGGGCTGTATCTCTAGTGAGGCTGTTCAGGAAGTCAGCCAGTACTGGTCAAGGGATATTCTCTGCTATGTGACTAAGAATTCTCCTTTTCAAGCTTCTGCAGACAGTGTGGAGGAGTGCTTTTTGTGTCTTCCTGAGTTAGACCCAGAACATCAGATTTAAGGATTCCAGGGGCTTCTGATGAACCTTTGCTCTATGTCAAGGAATCAGAGGGTCAGAAGCAGGAGAGCAGTCAGGTGTGAGTGACCTTCTGTCTACCTGGCCTGATCCAGCACACCTGTCCCAAATGAGTTTTCCTAGGGATGCTCACCCTCCTGGGCTTGGATCTAAGGAAGACCCCAGTGGCATTTGGGATTGAAAAGGAAGTCTGAGGTTTTTCAGGACAAGCTGGGAGTATCTAGAACTGGGTTACTGATGCCATGTGATTCAGAGAGGTGATGTTTAGCATCTGTCTGACTGATCCCTTTGAGAACTACCTTGGGGTCCTGGCTTTACTCTGAGACACTCTCCTTGGTCATTCCTCTGTTGTCTTCTTTTGTCAGCATGTACCATGGTAGCCTGCTAGGTAGACATGGTTATTGATGATCATTAACTGAACAAGGTGCCACCAAGCACCTGCAGTTTCAGAATTGTGTATGCTGACTAATTCTCCCCACGATTCACAGCTTATTGGTAGGTCTGTGTCATGGCCATAGTTATAGCAGGCCACCCGAAGCTCTTTCTCTCCTCTCCTTCCTGAAAGCCCTCTTCTGACCCAAGCAGCAGCTTCTGTAGTCTTGCCCACATGCTGGGATCTTTGGTACCCATAGAAGTTAGGCATGACACAAATGTTCCAAGGCTATCATGGCTCTTCATCTCTGTACTCCAGGCCCCATTGGCCTACATGCTTTTGTCACACCAAAACCAGTTCCTAAGGAGAAGATACTTTCACCAAATTGGAGGGGGGAAAGCAGAGACATCTACCACCTACTCAGCCTTCCTCCCTGCCTTTTTCCCCCGAGATTTGCTGAAGGAAGTGGGTGGTTCATTCTCTAGTTCTCTCATGCCATGAGTGACTTCCAGGCTGCTGGGACCATATTGACACAGCTTCTCCAGAGGATTGATTGGGGCTCGTGTTTGCTTTCTGGCTCACCCAGAGGCTAGGATGCTTTATTCCCTGCCCTGCCATCAGCTCTGCCCACTCTCTCATTCTTACTGACCTAGCTCTGCCTTTGGGAACTGGAGAAACTTGGTACCCACCAACCTCATATCACTAACTGATCCCCATCTCTTCACTGGATTGTTCTTCACATTTCTAACATGTCTGAGTATGTTGGGTACATACATCCCACTGGGCTTCCTTGACAGAGTCACATGTTGCTGAGTATGGCAGCAGACACCTGAAATTCCAGATTTGGGATACTAAGGCAAGAAGAGGGTCAAGAGTTCCAGGACAGCCCAACAATCTGGGCTATGTAGCAAGACCTTGTTTTGTTGTTTTGTTTTACATGGTAGGAAGAAGGGAGATATGGGAATGTAGACCAGTTCCATTATGCCTCAGCCCTGACAGCTCTGTCCCTTGCTTAGTAGTGACCGAATGTCCCAGGCGTCTCTTTCTTAAACACTTCCCAAGTCCCTAGGTACCTGAGCAATCCAGTTCCTTTTGATGAATGCACCCTGCCAAGGCTCCTTGGTGACAATGGGTAGAACACGGGTATTTGCACACTCTGGAGGTTGGTTGTACAACCCCTGCCCTATGCCCCACATACCTTGGGGCCCCGGTGGGGAGGTATCTTGACCTGGGATTCTGATGAAGTTGTAGGAGTCACTCCCTTCAATCATGGATCCTCAAGTATCTGACAGAAATATAAAGTGATATAGAGCAGTTCCAAGATCCAGTCTTCCTGGAAAAAAAAAGATGGAGCAGGAAGATGGGGGCTCCATGCACTGGGAAGCCTGTCCATCTGCTAATCTTCCAGATGTAATGCCTTCCTTTCTTGGGGATCGTGGAGAAGTGACCATCAGGACTCTGAAAAAGTAGGCCTTTGTGCTCTTAGTAGCTTGTGCATCCTTGGGCATGGGTTGAGTTGGACTAAGTAGTCCTTTGTGTAGCAACTGTAGTTTCCTGCACAAAACTTGGCTTCCCTAGCTTCCAGCTCCCAGGACTACTCCAAAAAGCAACTGGTTGCTTCTCTTCCCTTCCTGCAGCAAACCCAAATTATAGAAGCACCTCAAGGAGTTCTTCTTTGCTCCAGGGGTACTGATAAGTACAGGAATGTGGCCACCACCATCACTACCGCAGGCCTGGACCCATCATGGGCCCCTGTGTTTTGTGAAGTTCGGAGCCCTGTCTCTCTTGTGATTCCTACAGCTACTGCTTGTCTAGAGAGAAGGCTGGCTACTGTGCCCCACTTGGTCATGACTGAGACCAGATTTCAGAAGTAAGCCCTCTTACCTTTATGTTACGGTCCTTCTGAAATTCTGGAGTACCCAAGGCATAGTGGCATTACCAGATCAGGGGTCCTAACCTTTTGCCTATAGCTCTTTTTCTCTTCTTGCTTTCTGTTGCTGGCCCAGAATGGCTTTCTAAAATACAGGCTTTGGTGAAGAATACTTGGCAACTGTGTGGCCTTGTTCAAACCTTGGACCTAGCATGTTTCCTGTGTGAGTAGTAGTCTTATTGATTAGCCTCTCACTCCTGAGGTGACCCACCATGGGAACTTTGCTGATATAACTTCCAATTTTCTCCTTTAGTATCTGCCCCAAAGCCCTAATTATCTGCCAGTCATTGCCTGGCTATGCACTTGCCAAATCCAAATCTGGAAGGATATTTTAAAGTTGAGACTAGGTCCTTAGAATAGGGTCAGTAATGGAACAGTGATGTCCCTCCATTCCGTAATACCTTTGATGGACCCTGCCTCTTTGTCAGAATAGAGACGTCTTCTTGCTTTGAGCCCATGGTGGCTGTGGAATAGGGTCATTGTCTGGCCTAATCCTCATACAGCCTGTACTTTACCTGGATTGCTCTATGATAGAGTCTTACCCAACTTCTGCCCTCTGATTTGGGGTAACCTGCTCAGTGTTACTACTGAGACCACTGAATAGGTCTCTCCAAAAAGGGCACCTAAGGGATGGAGGTCTCTACCACTCCAGCAAGGCCTGGCAACATGGATCCTAAAAGCCAGGGATTTACCTGGTGCTATTTCTCCTCTCTTCTTTGCAGGTGGCTAGAGATGCTCATGGTGTATCCCAGAACCAACAAGCAGAACCAGAAGAAGAAACGGAAAGTGGAGCCACCCACCGCACAGGTAGGCTGGTTGGCCTGTCCCCTAGTGGAGCTGGGCCTGGGAAGAAGTGAGGGCAAGAGAATGGGGAAAGGTCTGGCTAGGGCTGAGGTGGTCACAGCTTGCATGCCACCTCCTCCCTCCTGCCTATACTTTAGGAGTCATAGGCCATATGTCATCCTCTCTAAATCACTAAGCAGAATAGCCTGCTAGAATGTCCTGGGCTGTCTTCAGGAAGTTTCAGGCCAGCCGGCAAATGCCAAGCAGTAGCAGCTTAGCTTGTGACCCTTCCCCTGCCCATCCTGTCAACCTCTGGGAAGGGCAGAGTGGTCTATTCTTCTGCCACAGTCAAAGAAAAGAAGTGTCCCTGTAGATAGCAGGCTAAGCAACAAGGAAGGTGAGCCCAGGAGGGTCCCTGCTTGGACTGTGACCAGAGCTAGATGACTGGGACAGTCCTTCCCTTCCTCCTACTCTCCCACCCTTTCTCATTCCCTCCCTCTTCCTAACTGGTATTCTGGGCTCATGGGCAGAAAAGCCCCCATTCTTGCTGTGTTCACCATACCCTTGGGCTCTGGAAGGGTGAAATAACCATTATGAATTTCCAGTAAGGGCCTTTGACTAGGGTGGTTGTAGGTACTTAGTGTTCATCTTTTTCCCTCTGTACCAAATGTTGCCCTCACCAGGGTTTTGACCTACATTAGATAAATTAAGCTAGTCCTGAGAATGAGCAAGATAGGTCTTCTAGGCATCACAAAGCCAGGGTCCTGTGGAAGCAAAGAGAGGCTGGCCTGGTCCCCACATCCCTAGGACTGTTGTGGACAGTTTCTCTTCCTAGCAGGGTGCAGCTCAGGCCTGCCCTCCATTGACCACCATCCATCTTGCATATCATCTTTACCAAAGATGCCCAAAGGGCACCTAAACCAGCCTTCTCTGAAGAGCAATGCCCCTAACTAGTAGTCATTAAAACATGTAATCAGAGAAATGAAAACATGCAGTCAGTTTCTGGGAAACTGAAAGTAGAGCCTTCTGCTATGGAGCAGCAGTTAATGCTCAAATCCCCCAAGCTGCCTGCTTTGAGGGGGAAAAGTCCTGGCTGAATAACAGTGGTTAGGGTTACGCCTTGTTTCCATGGTGATGCCTTGGAAACACTGCAGCACAGAGCTTCTGCCTCCAAATAAGGTAACTCCCCATGTACAGGAGACAGCTTGGGTCAGGCTAGAAATTTGGATGTGTCCCCTCCCCCACAACTTTGTCCCTTCCAAGTGATGCTGCCCTGTGACTAGACTCCAACTCTCTAGCAAATAGAAAGAGCCCTATGATCCCAAGGCAGGGAAGTCACCCCTTCCCTGAGGATATGCCTCAGAGCCCGGGCACTGAGTTCCCAGTCTCTTCCATCAGTGTTATGGCACTACCTCTCCCCTTCTCTACAACTGACATCTGGTTGGCCTCAGGAGAGAGACAAGAACTGCATTTGGATTGAATACACAGTCTGCTGCCATAGGCATTTGTGTGGCCCTTATGGTTCTGTGGGTGAGCATGAAGCTCTATTTCCTCCTCTCTCCCATGGACCTGCACAAGCCTAGAAGAGTTTTTGTTTAGACCACTGAGAACTGGAAGCCTTGGTTTCCACCGTGTCTAACTAACTTCAGTTTGTTCCTAAAGAGGTGATGGCCATCATATATATGCTCCTGAAGAGAAGGCCTAGAGGAGAGAGAAACAGGAGTACCCCAAAGGCATGGCCATAGGAAGAGTCCCCTAGTTCTCCCCAGGTCTGTTGCCCACATGGAACTTGGGAGAGTGGTTCTCTTCTCTAACCCTGACACCCCCCCCCCCCCAATTCCCTGCCAAGGCTCTAGGCCTTTGGCAAAGACCTGGGTGATGCCCTTGCTCTGTATCTGGATATGTTGAACATTCCCTGTCCTTCCTTCCCTAGGATTCTTGGTTTCTGTAGGGTCTCAGCTGCCCTCTATTCCAAAGCAGGACCCTTCCTTCCTCCTCACTGTGGCCCCTCTTCCATTTTCATGCCAGAGAAGTAGAAAAAGGTACCCCTCAAGGAGGAGCTTACTCCCTTTTTTCTTGGCTCTAGAAGCTCTTCTGAGTGCCTATGATAGCAGCCAGGGTTCATTACCGTGTTAACAGCAGAAACATGACAGCTGGCTGCTGAGGATTTGGTGCAATGAACCTAGGTGCCTGCAACCTTTGCTAACCCAGGCTGGCTCTGTGCAGTGTGTGCCTCTACAACCCTTTGCGTGTCCACATCCACCCAATTATATTTCTCATCCACCTGCTCAAAAGAAAAAGTGAATGAAAAAATAAATAAAAAGGAAAGAAAGAACATGGCTCCTAGGTATGGTGGAAGAAAGTTTATTATAGATACATGGGAGAGCATAGCCAGAGGCAGAGACATCTGGGAGAGTCCAGAGTAGATATGGTAGACATGAGCAGACTGAGCTGGGCCATTGGCCCTGGGGGTGGGGGGAGGTATGACGATGACAAGGTGCAGAAACCAAAGGTACAAAAGAGGTACTATATAAGGAAGAGCCTCTGGGGGAAGGACAGCCCAGCCTCTGGACTGAAGAAGTTTAGGGTAGGGGGTGGGGTATACCACCTGTACCCTGTAAGTGGTAGGGACTGAGGGATATTGGGATAACCTGAAGGCCAGGTCTGCTTTGATATGTTAAATAGGTACCTCAGCAGTTTGTCTCAGGGTTTGAAACGTAACCAAAGGATCTTTTTTTTTTTTTTTTGTAATATGAACATATTTATTAGGATGCTCAAGAATGAACAACATTATTTTCGCTCTTCATGTGACAGAGAATACATTTGACCCATGTTGAGGGAGGAAAGGGATAGGGTTCTCAAAGTGGGTGTCAAACAGCCCCACAAGAAATCCCCATTCAACGAAGGGCAGAATGTCCCTGATAGCATTGTCTCTGCTCTGAGTTCCAGCCCCGGTATTCTTTATTCCAACTATTCTTTCTTTGTCACTCTTCAAGATCCAGGCAGTCAAACTCAGGCCGCCTATGAGTCTGCAGACCATCTCTTTGAATTGTTACTGCCTTGATACCCTCAGTAGGGAATGGGGTGAGAATAGAAGGTTACACATATCAAAAACACAACATTAATAAATGGCACTTGGACGTAGGTTTAACATTATCAGACTTTCTCTTCAAATGACAGCGGGCGGGAGGGGCTGCTGAAAGATCTTCAGTCATGGTAGCATATATGGAGATCTCATATGCAAAGGCGTGAGGGACCAGTGTTACTGTCATCTTGTCCTGCACAGAGGAGTGAGTTTGCAGATGGAAGCAGACACTATCCTTGGCTTAGGTGTTTCCTGGTTCTTCCCACTGTTAAGCTGTGCCGTTCTGCTTCTCACCTGCCTTAGATATCATTTCGCTTAGAGTGAAACAGATTAAAAAATGGTAGTAGAGGGTGGAGAGATGGGACAGAACCCTGTAAGACTATAAAAAATACAAAAGCCAGATGTAGTACAATATTTATAATAGAAACTGGCTGAAAACACTACATGCTAACAGACAGTATGATACAGAGTAGGGTGGGAGCAGACAGGAAGGGCAGAGCCACAGGCCTACACCAGGAGCCTTTCAATAGACTGCTGGGTGGACTGGATCTGCTGCTTCAGCTGAGAGCCTTCTTTGATGGTAACAGAACAGGCGATGACAGGTCTGGAGACCCCACAGGCCCGTCCTAGAGCCTGCTTGGAGCACACAAATACATAAGGGACATTCTTGTCTTCACACAGCAGTGGGAGGTGCAGGATGATTTCCAAGGGCTCAGTGTCTGCTGCCATCACGATGAACTCAGAGATGCCTCTGTTGAGGGTTTTGGTGGCTTCATTGGCTCCTTTCCGAAGCTGCTTGTAGTTGCACGACTGCTGAACAAGGTCCAGCAGCTTCTTGGTGAGGTGGGCATCTGCGAGGGGATAGGCCTTCGGGTTCACATCAGCCTCTGTCATGGCTGCGGTGCGCCGGCCTCGCCGCGGGTCGAGACAGAACAAAAGCGCCGCATGGAAAGACGAGCGGAAGTCACTTTCTGCCTAACCAAAGGATCTTGCCCAAGGATAGGGGAACCTTTACCCATCCTCCAGAAGATAGAACAAGCTCCTTGTGGGTCAGAGGTGTGGGTCAGGCCCAGTTCTGTGGCATGAGACCAGATGGGAGTGGGAGGTAGATAATTATATATCACCACCTCTTTGTGGCAAGATAGTAATTGACTGAAACCATCCTCTTGGCAGCCCCCTCAGCAGTATGAGTGGTTGGGCACAGGCAAGAGTGGGTACTGCAGGACGGCTGAGATTCCCATCCTTTCCTTATCTGAGCTCAGCATCTAAAGAGTCCAACTCTCTTATTACTTAGAAACTAGATTTCTGCGTCTTTTGAGTTTAGCTTACCCCCCACCCCTACCCCCAGACCCCTTTTCCTCATGGCCATATTGTTTTTGTGCCCTGGGAAAACTGGGAAATGACTTGGGCTACCAATAAAGAACAGCTTGTGCATGAGAACAAAGTGTGCATGTGACAGGTGTGAGTGTGCAGGCTTGAGTGGGATGGTGTGTCTTACATGATTCCTGATGCTAGTCACAAAATGTCACAGACTGAGAGGCTGAAACAATAGACACTGTTGTTTTCTCAGAATTCTGGAGACAAGGAAGTACAAGGTTAAGGTGCCAACTTCCTAGTTCTCACACATGGTGGAAGGACCAGTGTAGATAGCTTGGGCCTCTTTTATAGGGTACTGATTCCATTAAAGAGGAATGACCTAACCATATCCTAAAGGCTTCACCTCCACAAATCATCAACACAGGATAGGATTTTTTTTTTTTTATTTGTCTTTTGTTGTTGTTATTGCTGTTTTGTTTTTTAAGATAGGATTTCTCTGTGTAGTCCTGGCTGTCCTGGAACTCTCTCTGTAGACTAGGCTGGCTTCAAACTGAGATCAGCCTACCTCTGCCTCCTGAGTACTGTGATTAAATGTTTGTACCACCACTGCCCAGCCATGGGATAAGTTTTCCTTATGTGGATAAGCAACTGTTCAGGCCTTAGTGTTGTCTTATTTCAGTAACTCTTCCACATCATCCCTGGTATTTCATTCAAGTTTAGGAGTGAGTAAGACCACAGGGTGCTATGGAATCTACTTTCTGCATTTACCCCAATGATCTTGATTGCAGTGGGCCTCTGTTAGAAGAGTTTTCTTTTTTGCCTTGTCCTGTCTCCCTTTGTTTATGTCTCAAGTGCCTGAGAGTTTAGGAATGGCAGACTCTAAATCAACTCCTGTGGACTCACCCTTAATAACTGGGCTGCTATTCTAGGCACTGTCTAGTGATATACAGAGTTTCTACATGCTTGATGACATGGCTCTGGTAGAAACCCAGGATCTTCTGTCTGCAAGGCCCCTTGGACAAGACACTGTGGTTCCACAGAGAACAATCAGGAAAAGAACAGCTTTCCATTCTCCAACACTATTTTACTGGCCTTGTATTCCTTGTAATTTAGCAGCCAGGACCAATGAGCTAGCCTGGGCTCGTTGCTCATATGCTGCCACCCCCCATTGTTATCTCTCCAGGAGCCTGGGCCTGCTAAGATGGCTGTCACAAGCAGCACTGGTGGTGGCAGTGGCAGCAGCAGTAGCAGCATTCCCAGTGCCGAGAAAGTTCCTACCACCAAATCCACACTCTGGCAGGAAGAAATGAGAGCCAAAGACCAGCCTGATGGGAACAGCCTGAATCCAGCTCAGAGTCCCAGCCAAAGCCTGCCTCCTGCTGCTTGCACCCCACGGGAACCAGGGCCAGAAAGCAAAGAAGGTAAGCAGTAGCTGATCAGCTGTGGACCCACTTGTTGCAGTGATCCATCTTGTACTGCGGGAGTGGGACCCCATCCAGTGGGCAGGAATGACACTGGGAATGTGATACAGGAGCTCAGTCATAGGCCCTGAACTTTTCCTCCCTCTGTACTTCTCTGTATTAGTTCTGGGTAGCACTGGCTTAGCATGACTGGGTTCCTGGCTTGTGAACTTCAGCTTGGCCTCTACAACCCACCTGTGAGGGAAAAAGGTGTAGCACCTACTCTGTCGGCCTCAGGAGAACTACAGACACTCTGTTCTGCCTCTGTAAGGAAGCCTCAGACACTCTGTTCTGCCTCTGTAAGGAAGCCTCTGTTCCTGTCCCACAGCTTCCTATTACATTAGCTCTTAGAACCCACTAGGCTAGTTGCCGCCTGTCTTTAGAGAGGTGCAGTTAGGGCAGTACTGCCCCTCTCCTCGTTGTTCTTGCTCAGCCCCTGGCTAGGAGGAAGAAGGGCCAGGGAGGAAGCTATTAACATTACTGTGCCCTCTCCTCTTAGTATGCTGTGATGCCCCAGCAGAACTAAAGTTTCTATCGCTGCCTCCCTCAATCTGAGTTCTTCAACACATATACCAATCCACAATCCTTGTGCTTCATTTCATGCCAACAAAAGCCCTCCTTCCTACCTTGAAAATGTACTGAGAGCCTGAAAGGTGTCTTGTTTGTTGGTTTCCTCCTGTGGTCTGGTAAAAAGCTGTTGGTTAGGATGGAGTCCTGCTTCCCCACCAAAACTGTATACAAAAGGCCTACTTGCCAGCCTAACTGCAAGTGACCAGACTGGAGTAAAGGCAATACAGATAGGTGATCCTTTTCTGCCTACAGTGCTCTCCTTCCATCTCTACCCCATATCGTAGCTGTGGAGTGGGAAGGTGGATGGTGTTGAGGCATCTATCTCCTAGTTGATCATGTGCAGGCTTTTAGAAAGTTATCGTGACAGAACTGGCAGCAGTCTGAGCAAGCTTCCTCTTCTCTTCCAGATGAAAGCGCCATGAGTGGGGACCGTGTGGATAGTGGTCGGAAAGTACGGGTAGAGAGTGGCTACTTCTCCCTGGAGAAGGCCAAGCAGGACCTGAGGGCTGAGGAGCAGCTGCCTCCACCACTCTCTCCACCCAGCCCCAGCACCCCACACAGCAGGTATGGTTGTCCTGGATCGCCTTCACAGGAACTCAGCCACCCCCTTCACTCCTCAGGTCTTCCAGCCCCAAGTCGCATGGTCTACAGCATCTGCCCTGACAGCATGGGTGAGGCCAGCAGGCCGCCCAACCACATGGACTCCAGCAGTGCTGGGGGGTGGGGAACAGAGATACTGGGGAGCACCTTTGCCTTTAAAGTCAGCAGGCAGTATGCCGCCCTGGCCGACGTCCCTAAGGCCATCCGGATCAGCCATCGAGAAGCCTTCCAGGTGGAGAGAAGGCGGTTGGAGCGTAGGACTCGGGCCCGGAGCCCTGGCAGGGAAGAGGTGGCCCGTCTGTTTGGCAACGAGCGGAGGTAAGGAGGATGCTGGAGGGCTAAATTCATGTATGCATACATAACACTCACGCAAGTGTACCTCGGGAACATGATTTATGTTTAGTATATGGAGCACTTTCTCTCCGGGCCCTGGACTGTGGCACCAGTTCTCAACTCAGTGCCAGATACAGGACTAAGTGCCTGCGGGCTGGCTGCCCTAGGTGGCTGAATCTTACTCTTGGACTACTTCTGTTCTCGGAGAAGACTCCCAGCCCCTCCTTATGCTGACAGTTCTACAGTTGGCAGAGGGCACAAGAAAGTGAGAGGGCAACACAGGTTCTTCCCACGAGGATACAAAAGGCAGCCTGAAAAGCTCCAGGTGTCCCAAGTACCACGCACCCTCCGGACTTTGCTGACATGGCTTCCCACCAGCGGCAGAAATGTAGCGCTTGCTGCTGAAACGATATGGCACCTGCTGCTCTTCCCTTGCCCTGCTGTCCCAGGCTTGGAGCTGTGCCCACACCCACCCACTCCCAAATTCTCTGTTACATCTGTGAGCTGGGTTTTGTGTCCATGCCAGGTTTCTTACCTAACACGAGACAGATTTTAAAGGCCCATTGCTATCCCCAGGAAAGGTTAGAAACACATGTGTCTATTTTGCTGGGGGGGGGGGGGGGAAAGCCAGCTTTCGCTAGGTTTACAAAGACGTTCTCTGTTCAGAAAAGCAACTCCAGAAATATCCTGACTGTCTTCCCTGCCCTGAGTGCGGGCCGATGGTCAGTCAGGGTTAGGAGCAAGATGAGATTGGGAAGGACTTTCTTTCTCTTGTCCCCTTTCACAACTCACAGTTAGTTTAACACCCAAACCAGCTTGTTTAAATGGCTTATGGATCCTCGGGTAGACAGTGGACAGAGTGTTTCATGGTTCCCTGGCATTCCGTATAACTGACTATCTTCACAGTCCAATGGTGGCTCAGTAAGGCACCTATTCCTCTTGATTCATGGACATGAAAACGTGAGGCTCAAAAAGTTGGGTGACCTCCCACCCTTCATAATGAATAATAGCAAATGATAGGCCTTTAGCAGAAAGTCCTTTCCCATGCTAGGACCCAGGACCAGAGCTCATGATTCCTTTTAAGCATTTGGGATAACAGGGTTAAAAGGTTTTGCTAACAATTAAGGAGGCCTGCAGGGTGGGCAGGGGAGGGTTTGCACTGGCTAGCGGACAGACTATGATCTAGTGATTCCAAAATGGGGTTGACTATACCTTAAGTTAGTGCCAGGCCAGAGTTAACAATTTGCACACCTGCTTGGCTTGGCCACTTGTCAGAGAACTTAATTTTGAAAGCATTCTTGTCTGCCTGCCAGAGATAGATGCAGTCTCAAGGCTTTATTCCTGCATGTTCTTTGCCACTGTGGGAATGGGTTTCTGCTGGTGTTGGTATTGGACTACTTCTGCACATTAACCCTGTAACTATCCCTGTCTGAATGATTTCGCTGGTTGGTGTTGCTCTTTGAGGACTGTTCTCTGAGGCCCAAGTAGTCCACCTAGTACTGGACTGGATCCTTGTCCCTGATAGGTTAGGGTGACAAGATGTCAGCCACTTTGCATTGAATGGTAGCCAAGACAAGCCTGTCTCACAGCCAGGCAGTTGAAACCATAAAGTCAGTTCTGGAAACCTTGGTAGGTCTGTAAGAAGCCCCACCTGAGAGGAGCAGCAGCTCTGAGCTTTGAATTTACTCTTGAGACTTCAGGGCCTTTGAGGAGTTCTTAGACAGTTCTTAGGCCCGTGTCTGTTAAGTGTGGGAAAGCTGTGGTCCTTACAATACTGTTAGTAACTAACAGAAAATAACCCCATCCCCTGGGAACCCTGGCCTCTCCATCTTCCCGTGTGAGATGTACACCTGTCAGTTCCACCTGAGTGAGGCAGTTTCTGTGACATCTGTTACTTCAGAAACACCAGCTTAGCAACAGAGAACCAGTTAGTTATACAGAAGTTGCCCAAGCCCGTGGTCTCACGGCATCTCTCAGTGTCCATGTCAAGCAGCTATAGCAAGTGCCTCCTATTTTTTATGCTGGCTACTCTGCTTGGAACCCTACAAACCCTTATCATGCATGCCAGCCTGGCCTGGCACAACCCTCCTCCTATTCTGGGGCCTGAAGTCCTCTAGCCAGATACAGTGCTTTCAGACCAAGAAGAAGCAGTAGCCCTGAGGGCAGTGGCTATCCAGATCTTCCTGCAGCAGTCTGGCTGTGCAAGACACCTTGGCTGCACTTCAGCTGCTTAGCTTAACTGCTCTCACAGTCCGCCTCCTTCTCTAGGCCTCTCTAGGCCAGCAGGCTAACCCACACCAGTCTTCTAACAGTTCTGAGCGTGGAGGCAGAGCGCCCAGAAGCCCTCCTAAATCCTGGCTGCCTGCCCTTGGCCTCTTAACTTCCTGAGGAAAAGCCCTCTCAAGGTAGATTGTATTGATCCCTGAAAAGAGAATTTCCTGGGAGGAACCTTTATCACATCCTCTTAGCTCCTCACTACTCTTTCAGAACAAATCATGCCATTCTGAGGGAGTAAGGTGTCCCTAGGAGAGCAGGCCTCAGGTTTGGTGAGAAGGTTGGTCCTCCCAGAAGGTTTAAATTAGCTCTCAGACCCCAGGTAGGCAGCCCAAGCCCTTTGCCTAATCCCGCCACGGTGACTCCTCAGGCTATGGGGTGATCATGGGTTTTTCTCTTCAGCCATTACCTTGGGGTTTTGCTGCTTTAAATCTTTAGATAACTTTGATTTATCATGATTTGAATTTTAAAAGCAGTCTTTTTCTGTTCATTTATTTCCCAGCCTTGTTTTCTTTCAGGTCTTGCCCTCTCCACCCTCTGCTGTGTCACTGTGGCGTTCGCGCCATCTCCACCTGCTTCGCTTCCATCTCAGCTCCGTCGTCTCAGCCGCAGACCACCTGATGAGGCCGCTGGCCTTTCACATGAAATCAACTGCTTTGTTTTGTTTTGATTTTGATTCCTCTTAATGTTAGCAGAAACTGTTAATTCATGGGCCTTTATCTTGCTAAATTTTGAGCACCCCATGTGGGGCGCAGTGTGTGCGGAGGTGGTGGTTGACGTTTACTGTGTCTGACTCAGGGAGGTTACCACGGTACCATGCTGTATGAGTCCAGTGGTGGGCAGGGCCAGTGCAGGCCCAGTGTGGAAGGGTTCTGTTGCTGCTCCAGCCCACCATGAAGGGGGGTACAAATGGAGCTCAATAGACTGAGTCTGTACCCAAAGTCCTATCAGTACTTTGTGAAGGGTGCCTCACATGCCAGCAGGAAGGCTAGCACTGGAGCCCAGTGAGGTAGGCCAGGTGTGCAAGGTGACTACAGGACCCCCTACTGGACTTGAGACCTAGCCCATCTTGGAAACAGGGAGACTCTGGTTTAGCAGCTTCATGTCCTCTTTTGTAGGAGGTCCCAGGTAATTGAGAAATTTGAGGCCTTGGACATTGAAAAGGCAGAGCACATGGAAACCAACATGCTGATTATGACCACTCCATCAAGTGACACTCGTCAGGGCCGCAGTGAGAAACGGGCCATCCCTAGAAAGCGGGTGAGCTCCATTGTGGGCTAAGTGGGACCTTTGGCAGCATGGCTTGGGTCTGGGGAACACACTGTCCTACATGCTCTGAGTCCTACACTTTACCAGGGACATATTTCTTCTGGGCCTCCACTCTTCGTTCTCCTCCAGTTAGCCTCTTGAGCACCAGCTGTCTTCCTCATCTCTCCCTCCTCCAGCATCAGCCTTTTGTGCCACAGGATGCTTCAGTGAGTTTTAGATCCCAGGTGTAACTAGCACAGTTTCTTCCCACTGAGGCCACAGGAACAAAGCCAATTATGACACCTTTCCTTGTTTTGTTTTTGGAATGACCCTCATTCTCTGCTTGGCCCGCAAGGTCCATCAGACCTCAGCAGTCCTCCTCCTCCCAGACTCCTCCAGCCTCTTGCCCACCTGCCTCTTCTGTGGCCTGCTGCTGTACCCAAGTCCTTCTTTCCAGTTTCTTTGTTGCTCATGAAATGCCTGCTCTCTTCTGTAACCTGAGAAGCTGCAAAATTGGGTAGGGCCAGGACATTGATGACCAGAAAAGGCTGCTCCACTGACCCAAGTATGCCAGGACATGGGTCATCCCAGAATCTGCTGTGGGGCCTAGACAGAGCACTGCCCCGCTCAAGGAGGGATGAACTACCCAACATGTTGCCCCTATGCCTACCCAAACTGTCCTGGACCATACTGATGGGTGGCTGCTCTCTGCCACAGGACTTTGCCAGTGAAGCCCCCACAACTCCTCTCTCAGATGCTTGTCCCCTGTCTCCACACCGAAGAGCCAAGTCATTGGACAGGAGGTCCACAGAATCCTCCATGACGGTGAGCCCAGGCTTCGTGCCAAGTTCTCTGGAGATCTGTGCCACTACCACTGCTGCTTCTGGCCACTCTGGGCCACTGTCCATTTATGTCTATATGTCCACACCGGTCCTCCCTCTGTACCACCCTCATGCCTGTGAGTGCCCCACTGGTCTGCAACCCATTGGAAACTGACCGTTCTTCCCCTCCTGGGCCCAACAGGACTGGGGGCGATGTGGCACCCTGAGTAGCACATGGAAGTCTCTGTGCACAGGAGGCTGCTGGGCCAATGCAGGTGTAAAGCCCAAACTTGACTTCTGCTGTCCTGCTTTTGGTGTTTGTTTTTGTTGGCACTTTGGAACAGGAGCAACACTGTACTGACAATTTGTCCCATTTGAGAGTATGTACAGGAATGAAGCTGCAGACAAAGTTCGGCCTGGTTTCTCAACAGTCTACAGCCTCCCTGGAGACAAGGCACACTCACCAGCTCTCATTCCCCAGGCAGAGCAGTTTCTCTGTCAACTCAGCTGGTGGCCACTTTTCCTGGCAACTAACTACCAGAGGCCTGGGGAGAAAAGACCCACAGGGACCAACCTCCACCATTCCCTGAGGCAGGCACAACAGCAGTGACAACCACAGCAGAAAGTTTAAGAGTCTCTCATAGATCCACAGCTCAGCAGGGGAAGCCAGAAAGTGAGCAGGCCTGCATCCCAAGTCTCATGAAGCAGCAACAACTGTGCACACCAAAAAGGGATCTCCTTTTGTACAGGTCTCTGTGCTGGGGCATCCTAAAATGTCTCCATTTCTGTTGATACTTCAAACAATTCTTGTAGAAGGAAGTCTTATGAAGCATGGGTTACAGCAAGGCTCCACAGAGGGATACCTCATCTACCATGGTCTGTTGGGGCAAGGCAGGAGTCTACTATGGCCTCTCCACAATGGAGCAGGAACTCCCAGGATGCCTGTCCTTATTCTTGTCATTTCTCTGGATCACTCCCTGTCCTTGGAGTAGTAAGAGACATCAAAGCCAGTTTCTGATCAGGACAGCTGTGGAAGACCTAAGCACTGGGGACCACAGAAGGGGTGGCTGGGGTCTTCAGAGCCTTGCCTTTCAGGTGTACTATGTAGCAGATGAGAACAGGCTGCTCCTAAGTAGAGTCAGCACCCACTCAGGTCTGCTGGTAATCCCTGACCTACCTTCCTGTATAGGGAATAAGACTGAACTTCCTCCTGGTAGAAGAGCAGCCTGAAAGTTGGACAAGGTTGCTGCCACTACTTTCTCCACCCCAGGCGTGGTCTGCCTCTCAGGCTTCTGGCCTTCAGTCCTTCTGCAACCTCCGTGGGAGCTTTTGGATTCCCCTTTCAGCTGTTACTGCAGGTGTCCCCCTGTACATTCGGTGCCTGGGAACTCTCCATTGGGGCCTGTTCTGTGCCCCAAGACAGGATGCACACAAGCCCTGGATAAGCTGGAATAGAGATCTCAGAGCAACCAGGCAGCCTGTGTTCCTGTGCCTAAGTTAAATGAGGCTGTACTCTCTCTTTGTCCCTCAACTCCCTCCTCAGGGACATATGCCTCTGGGCAGCAAAGTTGGGGCAAAAGGGGGCAGGCTTATCTGGTAGGTGGTAAAAACTGATTCTGGTGCTACTTCATCTAGATGAAAACAACCCAGTTGGACATGGTTTGTCCATTACTGGGGACCCATGGTGGTTTCCCTTGAGCTGTTCTTTTTTCTTCCTCAGCCTGACCTACTGAATTTCAAGAAAGGCTGGCTAACCAAGCAGTATGAGGATGGCCAGGTGAGTGAGTGAGTGTGTGTGTGTTCCCTGGAGGACTGGGGAACAAGTGTAAGTCCCAGCTTGTCTTGTCCCTGGCAGGGTCTTTGAGCCTTGATTCATGTCCTTGGCCTACGGACATCCTACAGTACTAGCTCCTAAAAGTTCTTAAGAGTCTAGGTTTCCCCAGAGGCAAGACCAACCAGCATATGGCTATGGGCCAGCTTGAGTATCCATTCAAGGCAGCCATATGGGCAATCACATAGGGCTGCAAAATCCTTGTGTTTGAAAAAACCATCTCAGTTTTAGGGGTGCCATTAGGCCCGAGAATTGTGAATATTATCAAGTCCAAACAAGAAGAGTCATTTGCAAGCCCCACTTTGACCTGGAGCATATTGGGTCCTTGCCTTAGAGGCCCATAAAAACCCCTCTACTATCTTAGCTCCTTTTTGCCTTTGGAGACTATGCCAAAGCATCCCCTCTTTCTCCTTCTTCCACCATATCAAATGCCCTTGGCCTTCCCTGAAGACTCAAGTTCCCTTCCTCAGAGTGAAGATTGGGACTTTAGCAGGTTAGTTTGTACCTGCTGACACAGTGGGGCTCACACATCTGGTCTATCAGCCAAGTGGTTGTGCCTCTCAGCACCCTTTTCACAGCCACCTTTCTGTGTGATAGACCCAGCAGAACTGTCTGCAGCCTCTGAAGTTAGGATGAAGGACTGCAAAGCACCTACCACACCCTGAGCTCAGAGCTGGCTGAGGCCCACAATTCTCCACTGCCTCATTGCTGGAGTGCATCTTAACCAGGGCCTCCCTGAGGTCATGAGTGCATGGCTGCCTGCCAGAACAGTCATCTCTTTGTTGCCTGCTTTACCTGTGCTCTCCAGAGTGCCTAGATTTAGCTGGGGTCAAAGAGGGGCATCAGGTATGTTGCAGAATAGTTGGATGTTTATTTTCTCTCCTTTAGTGGAAGAAACACTGGTTTGTCCTGGCCGATCAGAGCCTGAGATACTACAGGGATTCCGTGGCTGAGGAGGTGAGAAAACTGCAAGGCAAAACTGGTATCTAAATGTACAGGGCTAAAATGTATCTGAAAAGGTGGCCTATTGCCTCAGGTGTCAGAGTCTCAGTGCACAGTCGATCCAGCTTTGTCCCACTGTAGGCATTGTGGTCATTCTCTGAGGCCTTGAATTGGTTTTCTTGGTGTAGTGGCTTTTGGTCAGTCTCTTTTCTGTATTCTTTCAAGAACAATGAAGTGGAACTGGAGTAATGGCTCAGCTGTTAGGAGAATTTGTTTTTGTAAAGGACCTGGGTTGGTTTTCAGCACCCACATAGTGGGTCACAACTATCTGTAACTCCAATTCTAGGGATCTGATGCCTTCTTCTGACCTTCACAGGCTTCAGGTATACATGTTACACACTGGCATACACACATGCAAATAAATACTCATACAAATAAATCCAAAGACTAAATAACTAAAACAATTAAATTAGTACTCAGGGTGAACTCAGGTCTAGTTTTGTCTTTGGTTTTTAGCAAAAGGGTTGTGGTGAATTCAGTCACTGAACAAATTAACTTAGATCTTGTTCTACTTTGTTGTAGTAGAGAAACTTAGATTAAGAAATATTTTCTGTGTGTATTAGGGCGTAGGGAAAAACACTGTGCCATGGGACATTAGTGGATGCCATAGGACAACTTGTGGGAGTCAGTTCTCTCCTTCTATCCATGTTGGTCCTAGGGATGGACTTGGCAGCAGGCGCTTTTATCTGATGAGTCATTTCCCTGCCACCCCTGGAACAACACTAGAAGGGGTGCTTTTCTTTACCTACCAGAAAGTCTTTGAACAACACGACAAATCTGTGTTCTGATTTTTCCCTGCTAATTTCATCTGGCATCCTTCAGAATCGCCCATCCATCTTCAAAAAGCTCACAATTGCCATTCTATGCTTGTATAATAGAAAAAGGAAAAGAATCTTGGGCTGGTTTGTGTATTTAAATTCTTGTCATTAGCCTCCATGGCCTAAGGAGGAAGGCTGTTGGTGAGCTAAGCAGATCCAGATTGTGGACATGGTAAGCTTTGAGCAAAGTGTAACCAGTACTCCAAACTGGATGGTTTGGAGTGAGGGGGTGGTTTGGTTTGGTTTTTCAAGACAGGGTTTCTCTGGGAAGTCCTGACTCTCCTCACTGTAGAACAGACTGGCTTCAAACTCACAGAGATCTGCCTGACTTTGTCTCCCAAGTGGTGGGATTAAAGGTGTATGCCACTGCCCGGCTTAAAACTTGATGTTGTCAGAGGCTGTTTGTTCATTTCCCTGCCGCCCAGACTCCAGAAATAATCACACAGAAATCTGTATTAGTTGCAATATTATTTGGCCAATAGCTTAAGCATCTTTCTAGCTAGCTGTTATATTTTAAATTAATACATTCCTATTATTTTATATTTTACTACAAGAGTCATGGCCTACCAGCAAGGTTCCAACTAGCAGCTTGCATCTTTCTCCTCTGGCAGCTCCATGGCCTCTCATTGACTCTGCCTACTCTCTCCTCTTTCTGCTAGGAACTTCCACCTTGCCCTGTTCTGCTAAGCCACTGGCAAAAACAGCTTCATTCATTAACCAATGAAAGCAAAACATAGACAGAAGGACTTCCCACATCAACTTTGTTTTTATTGTGCACAGATGTGCTGCAGCATGGATTAATAGAGGTCAGCTTGTAGGATTTAGTTCTGTCCTACCAAGTAGATTCAGGCCTTGCACTCAGGTCATAAGCATCTTTACCTGCTGAAATACCAGCCTCTAGAGTAGGATGTATTGTGAGAGTCAATACTATGCTACTAACAGAACTGTGTTGACATAACACTGATTACATAGAAGCAGAATTACATAAAACAATCAATGCCTTGGCAATAGGCCAAAGTCAAATTGTACCAACAGTCAGTGGGCCTGGCCTGTATTATTACTTTACAGTCAATGATGTTTAAAAACAAAATAGGCCATTTGTTTGTTCATTTATTTTGCTATTCATTTATTTATGACTTTATATATAAGTATATATTTGGGTTTTGTTGTTGGTTTTTTGTTTTGTATTTGTTTGTTTTAATTTTTTGAGACAGGGTTTCTCTGTATAACTATCCTAGCTGTTCTGGAACTCGCTTTGTAGACCAAGCTAGCCTTGAACTCACAGAGATCCACTTGCCTCTGCCTCCCAAATGCTGGGATTAAAGGCATGTGCCACCACCGCCCAGCTATCTTTGGTTTTTTACATTTTTATTATTATTTTATTTGTGGTTTTTCAAGACAGGGTTCTCTGTGTGTATAGTCCTGGCTATCCTGGAACTCGCTCTGTAGACCAGGCTGATCTGGAACTCACAAAGATCCTCCTGCCTCTGCCTTCCAAGTGCTGGATTAAAAATGTGTGCTTGATATTTTTAAGTTGCAACCTTTGAATGTCTCATCTCTTTAGTATTTTTTAACTTTTATTATTACGTGTGTGGTGTGCGTGTGTGTATAATCTGTGTGGTGGTTCACACATGCCACAGCTCTCTTGTAGAGATATCTTTTTATTTATTTATTTATTTAAGATTTCTGTCTCTTCCCCACCGCCGCCTCCCCTTTCCCTCCCCCTCCCCCTGTAGAGATATCTTGTAGGATAACTGAAGTCAGCTCTTTCCTGCTGTAAATCTGGGGATGGTACTTGGACCATCAGGCTCATGTGGGAAGCACCTTACTGAGCATCCCTTGCTATCCTGTTTTTATTGTTCTTTAAATGGGAAGTGTCTGTCAGTCACTCAGCTGCTTGCCAAACCTTACAGAAGCATATCTGTACAATTAACCACTTATTTGTAGAAGCAGCTGACAGATAAGCTCTGATCACTTGATTTTGAGGGTTTGGCAGACATTTTCATGAAACTAAACCAGGAATTTATCCCTTCAAGGACAGTTTGTTGCCAATTATGAATAGAGTTTGAGCTTTCAACAAAAAAAAAACAATTGGGCTGGAGAGATGGGTCAACAGTTAAGAGAACTTGCTGCTCTTGCAGAGGACTACATGAGGATTCACAACTGCCTGTACCTATAGTTCCAAGGGATCCAGTGCTACTTACTGGTGGGCACTACTCACCTATGGTAGTCTCTGCCACTCAAGACACTGATGCAGGGAGGTCACATGACCCAAGAATTTGAGACCAGCCTAGGCAGTGTACAGAGTCCCAGTATCAAGAAAAGAAAGTGGGAATTGTGGCAGGTTCATATTCATAATCTCAACAACTTCTCTTTATCTGCAAGCTCTGCTGATGAAATAAACAGTGATTTAACATTTTGCTTCTGCAGAATGAATTGTGAGGTTTCTGTCCTGCCCGGTTTCTGTAGTTGTTAAGTCCCAAAGAAATACACAGAGGTCTACATTAATCATAAACTGATTGGCCTAGTAGCTCAGGCTTCTTATTAACTCTTATAACTTATATTAGCCCATAATTCTTGTCTGTGTCAACCACGTGGCTTGGTACCCTTTTCAGCAAGGTAGTCACATCTTGCTTGCTCTGTCTGGGTGATGACTGCAGACAGAATATTTCCTCTTCCCAGAATTCTCATTGCTCCGCCTCTACTTCCTGCCTGGCTACTAGCCAATCAGCATTTATTTAAAATACAAATGACAGGGTACAAACCATTGTCCCACAGCAATTTGAAAGCTATGCTTAGCTTAATATTTTCTGTGACCAATATTTAATGTTACAGAACATGCTTGGCAAAAGAGATGTTGAAAGGATAGAACTGTGGATTTCAGTGTTAACAGCACAGAATATTCACTGATAGGACTGCAGATTCCACATTGCAGTTAAGCTTTGAGATGTGACTTGATTGTGAAAGACAAGCTAGTGCCTTGAAAATTCTTCCTTTCCCATCTCTGTTAGACCACTCTGTCCTCACTCATGCTAGTCAGAATAAACACAGAAAACTGAATGGAGGCGTACACTAGTCCAGCATCCTCCCCAACATTGGCATGTAGGAGACCTGCAGAGATGAACATTGCCTCTCTAACCAGGGGTTCTTAGTCATACTTTGATTTTTCAATCTTATTTTAATTTTAGCATGAAAGGGGTTTAATAAGTAGTTCAAACTAACTTGAAACACATAGCCTTCCTCCCCAGCCTCCCAAGTGCTCAAATTGTGGATGTGGACCACCACCCTCAACTTTTATTAAGGTATTCCTTAAGTGAATACATACGCTTAAAATCTCTAATTTTTGATACAGAAATATCAATAGCTGAGTTCCACTTACACAAAAGTGTGTTTTAGCTTACTTTTTACTGTAATAATTTTTAAACACCATGGCCTACAGCAGTTTAGGGAGAACAGGGTTTATTATGTTACGGTCTATAGTCCGTCACAAAGGGAAGTTGGGTCAGAAACGAGGTAGGAACTGAAGCAGAGACTGGAAAAACATTGTTTATTGGCTTGCTCTCTGGCTTACTCTGCTTGGTTTGTTTGGTTGGCTGATTGGTTGGTTTTTTTGTTTTGTCTTGTTTTGTTTTTTGGTTGGTTGGTTGGGTTTTTTTTTTTTTTTATACTTGTTTTCCAGGATCACCTTCAGGGGTCAAAATGACCATAGTGGACTAGGCCATTCCACACCAATCAAGAAAATATTCCACAAACTTGCCTATAAGCAATCTGATAAGGAAATACCTCAATTAAGGTTCTCTCTTTCAGATGAGATGACTTGGTTTATGTCAAGTTGACAGAAATCCAGTCAGCACAGAGGATCTTGTTACTTATTAAGCATGTAAAAGAATTTTAATGATGGATATTTAGGGAACACTGGTGTGGACTTTCTTTGGCCAGACACACAGGGAAATGGTGGTATAGATATCCCAAGGGAGGGGACTTGGATCTGGTAGTTGTAGGACAATTGGCTAAGGATTAAGCCCTATAAGACATTGAGTGGAAGACATCACTCACAGAAATGTGATGATTTGGGCATCCTCTCTTCCTGAATTTCTCCCTACCCTTTTTCTTTGCAGGCAGCTGACCTAGATGGAGAAATTGACTTGTCCACCTGTTATGATGTCACCGAGTATCCAGTCCAGAGAAACTATGGCTTTCAGATTCATGTGAGTGTGGGGATGGATAGAGTTGACCAGCAGGGTTATATCTTAACGTGTGGTAAGCATTCAGTCTTTCCTGTTAGCATGATGTCTCTGTCCTGTGGCTACTGACCTATACTCCTGATACATGGTGTGGGCAAAAAAATGGGTTTCTTCATCTTTCTTTCCAAGGTTTTTGAAAAGCTTTGCTCCAGAAATTGCTCTTTTTCTTTTATTTTTAATGTTGGGCCACTGGAAGGATGAAGACTATGGGAGTAAAAGATTAAGGGATGCCTAGAATCAGGTTAAGGAATTTCTAGGACATTTGCTGTCTACAGTGAGGCTTCACACTTGTTACAGTCAACTGGGTTACTCTCCTTTTATTTGGTATCCATCTCTAAGCCTAGGTTTATGGTTGGTGTTTGTTCTTTCTGATGCAGGAGTCTGCTCCTCATGTCATCTTATCACTATCACTGCCAAGGGGAGGGGAGTCCTAGGCTGACCACAAAAATTCTTTCTAGTCATCCAGAATTCTGGGCTTGTAAGACATGTCTAAGGAGCAAGACAAAGCCAGCCCATCCTTTGGGGCAAACCTTTGTATTCCCTCACCAAAACCTTTGAAGCGATGGCAGGTAGAACAGGCTCTAGGATTTGACTTCTAGCTCAAGGCTAGAAGTCTGGTGGGTTCACCGGGGCAAAGATCTTTATGGTTTGGGGACTCAACTTATTGCTGACTTAAAGGCTGTCTCAAACCCACCAAAGTTGGAACCAATCCACACCCCTAGAGGCCAGGAGGAGCCTAGCACCCATTCCTGGGCAGCTTGACCATGACTCTACTGTATGTACTGGGTATCTGGGGAAGGATTAATAGCTGTTCCCATGGTCTGGCTCTTTGCTGCCCAACTGCAGTGTTCTGTTCCTATTCCCTTTGGAAGAGATAGAACACTTCTGGAGTCTGAATGTTGAGATGAACCTCTTATCCAATGAGAGTCCTGACTCTTTCCCCATCTTCATTTTGATTACCAGATTTCTCAAGACAATACTTGCACTGTCTGAGAACTCTGCTTTCTTCCCACATTAGCTGGGGTCAGTGGTGGGCCTGGTTTCCTACCCCGAGGGTTCAGAAGAGAGTGCCAGTGCAGAGGCTAGGTGATGGGTAGAACCTGAGAATGTTTGTCAGGGCAAATACTGTCCTAAGGTGTGGAAAGCACTGCCTGTTGTAGACACCAGAAATGTTCCTTAGTTAGAAAACTATATATGGGAGAACTTGCATGAGGGAAGTCCAAGAGGAGGTAGTAGTTGTGTGGTGGGCAAGTAAGGAAGGAGGGGCTGAAGATGCCAGGGAGGAACTTTGAGTGAGATAAGACCTGAGATCTCCTGAAACCCATAGTGTGTTGCAGGGTTCCATATACACTACTCACAGACTTCACAGTTAGAGATGGCTCCTCTGCAGTCCTAGCCAGTAGAGGGTTTGGGGAAGTGATGGGTCTTTTTGAGAGCATGGACTAGACAAGTAGCTGTGACACTAAGAAAGCTCACCAGCAAATCTGAGGCTAGACCCTAAAAGCACCTGCATCAAGGGTTGAATGGGCTAGCTTAGAATGTGAATGGAGCCCCATGCTGCTGTGTACACCATGGTTGTATTGCATGAAGGGGAGTGAGCCAGGTATGTGACAGCCCACCATGGAGGGAGAGATTGGGTCACAGCACAATGGCCCACCCATATGTCATTTGTGGTATTACAATCCATGCCCATTCCATTACCTGCTCCCAACCTGTATTGGTTTCATTTTCCTACTAGCAGATTTGCTGGTATGCTACTGATTCCTTTTTTCAGATTCCTTTTTCCCGTCTGCTTGCAGTGTTCCCACTGTGAACAGATTCATCCTGACCCCTGTCCAGCTAGTGATGCCCTGTCCCTCCATCACCTTTCCTCTGCCACTACCTTGATTCTCATCACCTAGATGGTGACAGGAGTGGTGTGGCACATCTTGCTGCCCTTTTAGAGCAGATAGAGACCCAGGCAGTCCCTTTGTCACATTGTACACCTATATTGTGGCTGCAGGATGCTGGGCCTGGCCACCATGCTCTCTGTTCCCAGCTAGTTCTGTGTTCTTGTCCCTAGGGCTAGCAGAGCTTCTTGAGGAAAGGGGCATATGTGATCATCTATCCGTCTGCAGGCTGCTGCTATTGCATAATAGGAGCTAGTGATTGTGTACTGCCTTGTCTAGGGGATACTCAGCTCATCACTGTCCCAAAGTGTGGTCCTATTAGTCTTCCTATCTCAAGCAGATAATATATAGCACTCGTAGGAAGGTCGCCTAGTCTAGCTCTTTTTCCTGTGGTATGACCACTGATGGTTAGTATTTTTTGTGTAGACCAAGAAGGGTGAGTTCACCCTGTCAGCCATGACATCTGGCATACGACGGAACTGGATCCAGACCATTATGAAACATGTGCTCCCAGCATCTGTCCCAGATGTGACCAGGTAAGATGGAGGTCTTGCTAATTGCCATTTCCTCATGCCTGAGCCCAGCTACACCACAACATAAATTTCTTTCCTCCTTCTGGCCCGTTGTCCACTGGTTACATTTATACCCTGTGATTCTTTGTTTTCTGCCTCTCCTGACCTGCTGGCCTGGTCAGCCACACAGGTTACCCTCATGCCTATTCTCAGCATGGACGTCTTTGTCAACAGGGTTCAGCCCTCATGATGGGTTCAGACTCCAATATGGGCCTTTCTCTGGTAGGGTTCCCTGGCTGGGTGGGAGCAGCCTAAGCTGCTCCTAAGTTTTACACTGTAGTTTTGTACTTCCTCAAGAGTACCTTTTACCTCACTCCTGCATCTGTTTTTTGTGTAATCATGAGAAACTTCTGTCTGAGACTGTAGGTCCTAAAGCCCACATTTGAAAACTCTGTTCTCTCCTGGGTTTACACGCTGTAGTGTATATTCCTCAGAACATGCTACATGCCTCCTCTTCTTGCTCTGAAGATTTCAGCTCTACCAATGTTCATCTTCAGGACAGCAGAGATGCTCTATGTGTGCCAAGTTTTACTCTCTCTTTATCCAGGTTTCATCTTGAATACCTTGCATCTCTCTTGGTTCATGTTGCTGCCAAGTATAGTTTTGGTATCAGAGGTTTGGGTGTATGGTGGTTAAAGGGTGCTGGCCTGTAGCAGCATTAGCTATACCTATTCTTGCCTCAAACTTTTGCCTCATTCTGGCTGGTTCTATTTCTTTTTGAATAAGAAGGAAAGGAAACCTGAACTCTGTTCCTTAACTCCCCTTTCCTACATCTGTTATATGTTCATTTCTTCACTTGTTGGCAATATGTACTGATTTTTGCTTTTATAGGACTAGTAGATCCTGAAGACCTGCTTTTATATAGGAAATAGTCCTCTGCCGTCTCTCAAGAACTGTGCTAGGAAGCTGGAGAGATGGTTCAATAGCTAAGAGCACTGGCTGCTCTTTCAGAGGACCGGGTTCAATTCCCAACACTCACATGGTCTCAGTTCCAGGAGATCCAGCACCCTATTCTGGCCTCCATAGCCAGTGCATGCAGATGATGCATGGACGTACATGCAGGCAAAATACTTACATACATAAAAGAAAATTAAATATTAGAAATTTTTGCCAGGCAGTGGTGGCACGTGCCTTTAATCCCAGCGCTCGGAAGACAGAGGCAGGTATATCTCTGAGTTCAAGGCCAGCCTGTTCTACAAAGTGAGTTCCAGGACAGCCACACATAGAACCCGTCTCAAAAAAAAAAAAAAAATACGCACGCCTTTAATCCCAGCACTTGGGAGGCAGAGGCAGGCAGATCTCTGTGAGTTCGAGACCAGCCTGGTCTACAAGAGCTAGTTCCAGGACAGGCTCCAAAACCACAGAGAAACCCTGTCTCGAAAAACCAAAAAGAAAAAAGAAAAAATTATAAAGAACTGTTGGCAAATGAGCAGTGCCCCACCCCCTACCTCCATAGTTCCTCTAGTCAAGAGAAGAGTCTATAATACAGGGCCCTGAAGCAAAGAGAAAAGGGCATATGAGCTGCCCTGCAAAGGCAACGGGCAGATGGAGGGTCATGACTGGAAGAAATCAATGTTGGGGTGTCCAGGGCAGACGCCAAGAATTCTCATACATACATGTTTATGCTGTGCTCCATGGAAGGACTGAGGCCCAGGTTATGAGTGTAGAGACCTGGTGCTTCTCTCTCTTCCACTGTTGTCTTCTAGAATCTGTATTACAGTTTAATGTGTCTTCAAGCCTCCACACCCATTTGCTTTTAGCCTATGTTGTTCAGTTTGACTCATGATGATGAAACATGATTTATAACTACAGGACCTCCAGAAGGTTTTAGAAGCAAGGACAGCAGTATCAGCACTGCAAGCTTTGCTCTGCTTCTCTTCTCATTTTTCTCATGTTGCCTGTAGTGAGAACATCTCACAATACTACAAGACTTTGGGGTTAGGGGAGGGCCCCTGTTCCTAAGTGTCAATTTCAGTTTCCCATATAGACCGAGACTTCACCAATTTTCTCAGGATTTTAAAAGTTCAGCTATGGGTTCTTTTGGTTTGGTTTTCCCTACACCAAGATGTTGCTGTATAGCCCAGGTTGGCCTCCCACTCAATCCTCTTACCTCAGCCTCCCAAGTGTTGGGTTACAGGCGTGTGCCATGATGTACCTCATTTAAAAAAAAAAAATAGATGGTTGTGAGTTGCCATGTGGGTGCTGGAAATCAAGCCAGGTCCTCAGCAAGAGCAGCATGTGCTTTTAACCACTGTACCATCAATTTAGCCCCTTCCAGCATGTTTTTATTTGCATATTGGTTTGATCTTAAACTGAACCCTTGCTGATCCTACTGCTCTTAAAGCATTTGATGTTTGTTTAAATGCTTGTATTTATTAGTGTGTTTGTGTGAGGGAGGGAGGGAAGGAAGGAAGTGGGGGTTTGTCACAGCACACATGTAGAGATCAGAGGACAACTTTGCTTGTTTTCAACATTTATTTTGTGTATACACATGCATTTTCTGTTGAGCACATATGTAGGTTAGAATATAGCTCATAGGGGCTGGAGAGATGGCTCAGTGGTTAAGTACTCCCTGGCTCTTCCCCCTTGGGCCCTCCTATCACCAGCTCACTTCAGTCCTGTTAAGATTTGGACAAACCTGGGCCATCTAGCAATCACTGGAACTTATGCTCTCAGTAAGCACACTCAGCCTCTTGCCATGTTGCCAGAGGTGATGTCCTGACATCCTCTTCTGCTGAAATGGAGGCCTTCCCAGAAATCTTCCTTAGGGAAGATTGGGAAAAGGCAGACAATCTTCAAACTAGCCAACTTCTTCCCTGTTATCGTTGAGTAGGTTGAGGCACTAGCAGACTTGATCTGCATGGCTGTGTCCCTAGTCACCTCCTTTCTCAAAGTGGTGGGTACTATGCTACCTTCTCCCTAGTGGTGTGGGCTTCTGGCTAACCAAGTCACTGATAGTCTGACCACAGATAGTCTCAGTCTGACCAATCTTTCATGCCTGGAGCCAGAGTGAGATCTTTAGTTAGAGATGATGGTGTCTCCTGTTTATAGAAATCCCTGAGCCTTTCTAAAGAAAGCTATTTCTGTCGCTACATAGTGTAAGGTTGCTTCATAACCAACCTCACTAAGTGTCTGGACCCTTCTCTCCTGGGGGGACTTATAGGAGTCCATTGACTTTATCTCCATCATCCATGATATGACCATCATGACACTCCTATTTAAAGGATGAGAACTGAAGTCTAAGGAACAGCTAAAACTCTTTTCCTTTCCCTCCCCATCTAGTAAATTTGAGATCTCCAAGGGAGAGCCAAGCACAGGTGGAGCATTCTTCCCTCTACACTTAGAAGCCACTTTGGGGATGAGAACAGGTGTGTGCTGACCCTGTGAACTGCTGAAATGTCCAGACTCCCTGATAGGTCCCCTGTTTTCTCACTGTCCCACAGCTCATTGCCTGAGGAAAAGAATAAAAGCACACCTTCTTTTGAGACCTGCCCGAGGCCACATGAGAAGCAAGAAACTGAGCCAGGAGAGCCAGATCCTGAGCAAAAGAAGAGCCGTGCTCGAGAGCGGAGGCGGGAGGGCCGCTCCAAGACGTTTGATTGGGCTGAATTCCGCCCCATTCAACAGGCCCTGGCTCAAGAAAGGGCCAACACTGTGGGGTCCTCTGATGCTGGTGAACCTGGGCGTCTTGAAGCAGAGCCAGGTGAGCTGGAGCGTGAACGAGCCCGAAGGCGAGAAGAGCGCCGCAAGCGCTTTGGGATGCTGGAAACCGTTGATGGGCCAGGTATGGAGGATACAGCCCTACGTATGGACATAGACCGGAGCCCAGGGCTGCTGGGAGCCCCTGACCTCAAGACACAGAATGTCCATGTGGAAATTGAGCAGCGGTGGCACCAAGTGGAGACTACCCCTCTCAGGGAGGAGAAACAGGTGCCTATTGCCCCTCTGCATCTATCCTTGGAGGACAGAAGTGAACGGCTCTCCACACATGAGCTCACCTCTCTGCTAGAGAAAGAGGTAAGTGGGGCAGCTCCCTTCTTAAATGCACAGAATTATTCAGTACAGTGCAGTGAGAGTGGGGATATAGCCAAGGGCTGTGGTGAGACAGAATGGGGCAGATAGAGGCATTCTAGCATATGATTCTTATGGAATGTGTCCAGATTACATCTGCATATACATTTATGCCTCGCTAGTGAGTTCCATGACCAAAGAATTACAATATGAGTATCCTTACTCCAAAAGTTACAAATGCTCCAAAGTCCAAAAGACTTAGTGTCAGCGTGACACAAGCAGAAAGTTCCCTACCATGAAATTTTGTTTCTGTGTAAAATTAGTAGATACTATATTATATAGGAGACTAGGGATATGGCCCTGATGTTACAGCACTTCCATAATCCACAAAACCCTGGCTTCAATCCCGGCATTGTCAAAACAAAGCAAAATGTACATATCACATGTATAAGTGAAGTCATGTGTATAAAGATGTAACATGATTGAAATTTGTATTTAGATTGGGCTCCATCCCTCAAATTGCTCATTATGTAAATACAGTTATTCCAGAATAATTTCAAAGGCAAAACAGCAAGCAACCAGAATACTCACATGAGGTATTTGAGATGTGTGCTCAGCCTACATAGGGTTCTGATTTTTGCCCCCCTTAGAGGCATCCTCCTCCGCAAGCGTCAGGCATATTACACTCTTTCCATAACAGCCAACTGAAGATCTGCCACTTCAGCATGCCCGTTTGCCTCTTTCATTTTTTTTTTCTGTTTTGTTAAATGTAGGAACTTGATAGATCACTAGCACCAACACTGACTTTTCCATTTTCTATCTCCACTAATAAAATATTATAGGTAAAATGAAATTAAGTAATTCAAACTTGCATAATTCTAGGCTATCAAAATAAGCCATCTGGGCCAGGCAGTGGTAGCACACACCTTTAATCCCAGCACTCGGGAGGCAGAGACAGGCGGATCTCTGAGTTCGAGGCCAGCCTGGTCTACAAGAGCTAGTTCCAGGACAGGCACCAAAGCTACACAGAGAAACCTTGTCTCAAAAAACCAAAAAAAAAAAAAAAAAGATAAAATAAGGCTTCTGGCCTGTAGGCCGCATACTGAGTTCTTAACTGGCCTTAGGCATCTCATTGGATATGCAGCTTGAGCTGGACCCTTCAGTTCCATATGATGCCTGTCCAGTGAGATGTCTGAGGCTAGTGAAAGAGCCCATTGTATGGCCACTGTGGTCAGTTGCTTTTTCTTATTGTCATCCTATTTGTGAAGTGTATGCATTTGTTTATTTTCACCAACAGCTGGAGCAGAGCCAGAAAGAGGCCTCGGATCTTCTAGAGCAGAATCGGCTTTTGCAGGACCAGTTAAGGGTGGCCCTGGGCCGAGAGCAGAGTGCCCGGGAGGGCTATGTGCTGCAGGTAGGGTGGGCAGCTACCCAGTCATCAGTGCACCCAGGGGCTTCAGTGTGAAAGGTCTGCTCAGACCCACAGGCTAGGAATGTGCAAACATGGCAGAGCTCTGATCAACAAGGACAAGGGTTCCTAATGCTATGATATTCTGTACATATTCCTTGCTACTGGGACAGTGATGCGGGGGGATGTGTACCAAATCTCTACAGCTAAGGATTTTCTTTTGGTCATGAAATCATTTTGGTAATCTCTCCTTTAGACTTTCTAGACGTTGTGCTTTTGCGAAAACCATGTATCTGTATCTCATTTCTCATTGTGTTCACCATAGTGAGATTGGCCTATTGTACATATACTGAAAAGCTGGGCAAGACAGCAAGCCAAGTGTCTTCTTAGGACAACAACAAGTTAGCGGTGGAGCTAGACCTGCACCACCACCCACCTACCCATTCCTTTGTAACCAGCCTGAGTTTCAGGAGGACATATGACCACCTAGCCATTCTAACCCAACCAGGATTGAGGTAAAAGTTATGGCAGTTAGGTGCCTAGCTGACAGCCCAAAGCCAGTGTCCTTTTCCTTTTGAGGTGTCTTCCAGAATCCTGCTGCATTCAGATCCCTAGAGTACCCTTGATATGGTTATGTCAAAAAACAGTCTCAGGGAAGCTTCGTATGAGGACAGGTGGCGTGTATTATCCTATAACTGGCTTCCTAGGATCAATGCTAGCTCTGAGACATGAAGTAGACATATTCTCACCCTGGGTACTGTCGTGCTGATGGGAGAATCAACAAATAAGTGCTAGGGATAGTGGAATGGGGTGGTAGAATTGAATTGAAGCTCCCAGAAAAGGCCAAGGAGAAGGCATTGGTTTTAGAGTGGTGTTAGGGTTTTAGGTTCTAGTCTTGATTCTGCCACTGATCCCAGAAGCATTCGCCACTCCTACAGCAGCGTTCCCTGCCTGTGTTATTTAGAACTAGTATCTTCAAAGACCCAAAATCCCTGCCAAGTTCACTGTTGACATGCCCAGACCCTTGTGCACTGACCTCCTCAGTCTTCGTTACCAAGTTACAAGTGGACCTGGAGTCCTTTCCTCTCCTCAACCAGGGCCTACCTTACCTTCATGCCTATCCCTCCCACTGCTGCATGTGTCCCTTGCTTACCCCACATTACCGCACCCTCTTCCCTTCCAGTAGACTCACTGCTAGCCTACTTCTGACCTTGCCCCAAACTGGCCATAGCAGGCATCTTCCTTCTACATAGCCTACTCAGAAAGCTTTGGGTTATTCATTCAGGCCATCCTTAATTTAAGGGTCATTTTCCTAAGCCTTTGTTGGGTCCATCCTATAAAACCTGACTTCAGATATGGTGGTAAAGACACTGCCAAAGAGCTTTGCACATTGCTACCTTGTGTATCTAACATGGATTAGTATGTGCGTCTACACTGAAGGCCTTGTTGGTCAGCACCTGGGCCAGCTTCCTGCTGAATCTAATAATGATTACCCCTGAGTTTTGGAAATGCTTATAGTCAAAAGTGAGAAGGGGAAAGAGGCCTTTTGGGACACTGAGGGCTAAGAGATGCAAGCTCGGGTAGGGTGCTGCGCTAACTGCTGGGAGGGGCCTGCATGCTTTGGATGGTGAACATGGTGTGGAACTGGAACTTAACCTGAGTGTCACATCTGTGGCTTCCCCACCAGTAGACTGAGGGAGCCTGGGCAGGCCAGATTCTAGGTGGGGCTCTCCTGACTTACCCGTGTCATCTCCCCTGCTTTATATTAGTTCTGTCTCTTCTGTGTGTCTCTCAGTTTGAGGAGTTTTGTGTTTTATTTTGGGTTTTGCATGTTTCACTCTTATTTTGAGCTTTATGAAGGTTTGTTTTGTTACCACATTTTGCTTCATGATCTGCATTCCCCCTGTTCTGTCTTCTTGCAGGTAGAGATTAGTTTTCTCCTTACGGTGGAGGCCTGACTACGCTTTCTAAAGGAAATGTTCCAATGTTACCTTGCTGACATCTCTCAAGTAGTTACCTGCCTTCCTTCTCTTCCTATCATGGAAGGAAGTGACGTCACTTTCTTGTGCCTTATGCCCTGTGCTGCTTTAAATATGTGGTCTAGAACCACATACTTTGTTTTGTAAAGCAAATGCGGTGTCCTTTTGTCCTTCGGTCTCTGTTATACTTCTCAGTGTGTTCCATTATTCAGCTTTATTTGGTTTATTTCTTCTAGATGCTGTTCAATTAGAACTGTTTTTTGATGTTTTTCCCATGTGTTCTGTTTATGTGGAAGCAGCTATATTTACCAAAAACAATTAAATAAAACCCAAATTAATTTGATTTTTTTTTCTTTAAACGAAGAAAAAAAAAGTTGTTCAAAGGATTAAAGCCAAACCCACCAAGGAACTTTTCTATGATTGATCCTGGCCAGAGGTGTGACACTCAGAACAGGGTGGCCTGAGTGTTACTAACCAGTATTTAATCGGTTTTTTTAAGACTGAAGTGGCCACTTCCCCATCGGGTGCCTGGCAGAGGCTCCATAGAGTCAACCAAGACCTCCAAAGTGAGCTGGAAGCTCAGTGCCGGCGACAAGAGCTCATCACCCAGCAGATTCAGACACTGAAACATAGCTATGGGGAGGCCAAGGATGCAATCCGGCACCATGAGGCTGAGATTCAAACCCTGCAAGCAAGACTTGGTAATGCAGCTGCAGAACTGGCCCTTAAGGAGCAGGCTCTAGCCAAGCTCAAGGGTGAGCTGAAGCTGGAGCAGGGCAAAGTCCGTGAGCAACTGGAGGAATGGCAGCACAGCAAGGCCATGCTGAGTGGCCAATTGAGGGCCAGTGAGCAGAAACTCAAAAGTACAGAAGCCTTACTGCTAGAGAAGACACAAGAACTGAGGGACCTAGAAACGCAGCAGGCATTGCAAAAGGACCGACAGAAGGAGGTACAGAGGCTGCAGGAATGCATTGCTGAGCTCAGCCAGCAGCTAGGTACCAGTGAGCAGGCCCAGCATTTGATGGAGAAGAAGTTGAAGAGGAACTACACATTGTTACTGGAGAGCTGTGAGCAGGAGAAGCAGGCACTTTTGCAGAACCTCAAGGAGGTAGAGGACAAGGCTAGTGCCTATGAGGACCAGCTACAAAGCCATGTGCAGCAGGTGGAGGCCCTTCAGAAAGAGAAACTGAGTGAAACAAGCAAAGGCAGTGAGCAGGTGCACCAGCTAGAGGAAGAGCTAGAAGCCCGGGAGGCTAGCATCCGCCAGTTAGCCCAGCACGTACAGAGCCTCCATGATGAACGGGATCTCATCAAGCAGCAATTCCAAGAACTCATGGAACGTGTGGCCACGTCTGATGGGGATGTGGCTGAGCTCCAAGAGAAGCTGAGAGGAAGAGAAGCTGACTACCAGAACCTAGAGCACTCACACCACAAGGTCTCTATCCAGCTACAGAGTGTACGCACTCTGCTGAGAGAAAAGGAAGAAGAACTGAAGCACATTAAGGAAGCACATGAGAGAGTTCTAGAAAAGAAAGACCAAGACCTTAATGAGGCTTTGGTTAAAATGATTGCCTTGGGCAGCAGCTTAGAGGAAACAGAAATTAAGCTGCAGGAAAAGGAAGAGTGTCTAAGAAGATTTGTAAGTGATTCTCCAAAGGATGCCAAAGGGCCTCAGAGTACGGCAGAGCAAACGGAGGAGGACCGTGGCATTTTGCCCCTAGGCTCAGTCACCAGAGTATTTCCAGGCTTTCCCCACTCACAGCCAGAGGACGAAGACCCAGGTGCTGGCCTAGGGGAAGAATGTAACAGTGGTAGCCCCAGCAGAGAGGAGAACGTGGTACCACCAAAGTCTGCAGATGTGCCTGACAGGGATGGGCATCTGCAAAGCACCTCTAAGTCTGACCAGGGAGCACCTGTAAAAAGGCCAAGAATCCGGTTCTCCACAATCCAGTGCCAAAGATACATACACCCAGAGGGTTGTGCAAAGGCCTGGACTAGCAGCACATCATCAGACACCAGCCAGGACCAGTCACCCTCAGAGGACAGTGTGTCCTCAGAAGCTACCCCTAGCACACTCCCTGCAGCTGCAGATGCTGAAACCTATATCTCTATAATCCACTCCCTGGAGACAAAGCTCTATGTCACAGAGGAGAAACTCAAAGACGTGACCGTGAGGCTGGAGAGCCAGCAGGGCCAGAGTCAGGAGGCATTGCTTGCATTGCACCAGCAGTGGGCTGGCACTGAGGCACAGTTGAGGGAGCAACTCCGTGCCAGCCTACTACAGGCTAGCGCACTGGCCTCTCAGCTAGAGAAAGAGAGACAGGAGAAGGCAATAAACATTGAACACCACTCTGGGGAGCTGGAAGACTTCCAAGCCAAAAATAGCCAAGCCCTGACATGCTTAGAAAACTGCTGGAAAAAGCTAAGGTCTCTGCCATTTGCTGACCAGGAGGAGGGACAGGATGCATGTGCAGCCTCCCTGGCTAACATAGAGAGTATGCTTGTGAGTGCTATAAAGGCCCTTCAGCCTTGGGAATCCCCAGCAGACAGCAGGACACAGACTGAGCAAGAGACAAGGCATCCCATGGAAAGTGGTCTGGCAACTCATGTTCAGGAGCCCTACCAGCCCATATTGAATGAACAGGAACATAGGAAGCTACTTTCTGCTCAGATAGTTCTGGAGGCCTCACTCATCAACCAAATTGCTGACTCTCTAAAAAATACCACTTCAGATGTGTATGGTGTTCTCCGTGAGCTTACTCAGTCAGGGGAGTGGCCTCTGAAGGAAGAAAGTACTGCCCTCTCTGCTGGGGCTCCAATGGAGATTTGGGCCAAGAAGGTACTGGTGAATGGTGAGTTCTGGAACCAGGTCGAGTCCCTAAGTAAGCACCTAGGGACACTGGGAGAAGAAGCAGCCTGCACGTCAGGAGACAGGCAGCAGCATATTTCCCAAAGTCTGGCTGATGCCACATGGATTCGTGCAGAGCTCAGCTATGCCACACAATCATTAAGAGAATTGTTCCACCATAGGCTACAGAGCATACAGGAGACCCTACAGGGGACCCAGGCAGCCCTACAGCAGCACAAGTGCATGCTGGGAGAAATCTTGGGAGCCTACCAAACCCCAGACTTTGAAAGAGTAATACAGCAGATCTTAGAAACCCTCAGGCATCCAGCTGGCAGGGAGGACCAAGTACAAACATCCTGGGACCAGAGCCCATTAGGAGAGGTACTGAGGCCAGGCACAGATGGCTCCCAAGAGCCTTTGCAGGCTTTCCATCAGAGCCCTGAAGTCCTTGCTGCCATTCAGGATGAGCTGGCCCAGCAGCTGAGGGAAAAGGCTAGCATCCTTGAGGAGATTTCAGCTGCCTTACCAGCCCTGCCTCCCACAGAGCAACTAGGGGGTTGCCAAAGGCTTCTGCAAATGTCACAGCATCTCTCATATGATGCTTGTCTAGAGGGCCTTGGTCAGTATTCTTCATTACTGGTTCAAGATGCAATTATTCAGGCTCAGGTGTGTTATGCAGCATGCAGAATTCGGCTGGAGTATGAAAAGGAGCTGCGGTTTTACAAGAAGGCCTGTCAGGAGGCCACAGGGGTCTCTTGCCAGAAGCGTGCACAAGCAGTTGGAGCCCTGAAGGAGGAGTATGAAGAACTTCTCCAGAAACAGAAGAGTGAGTACCAGAAGGTGATCTCCCTCATTGAAAAGGAAAACACTGAGCTCAAGGCCAAGGTGAGCCAGATGGATCATCAACAGAGATGTCTACAAGAGGCAGAAAGCAAACATAGTGAAAACATGTTTGCCCTGCAGGGCAGATATGAGGAGGAGATCAGGTGCATGGTGGAGCAACTGAGCCACACGGAAAATACACTGCAGGCTGAGCGTAGCCGGGTTCTCAGCCAGCTAGACGCTTCAGTCAAAGACAGGCAGGCCATGGAACAGCAACATGTGCAGCAAATGAAGATGCTGGAGGACAGATTCCAGCTGAAGGTCCGGGAGCTACAAGCTGTCCATCAGGAGGAGCTCAGGGCCTTGCAGGAACACTACATATGGAACTTGCGGGGAGCCCTCAGCTTCTGCCAATCCTCACACCCAGATTCCCCACTGGCTCCCAGGCCATCTGAACCCAGAACTGTGCCAACAGCCAAGGATGAGGCTGAATCGATGACAGGGCTACGAGAACGTATCCAGGAGTTGGAGGCCCAAATGGACGTCATGCGAGAGGAGCTGGGCCACAAAGAGCTGGAGGGTGATGTGGCCACCTTGCGGGAGAAGTACCAGCGGGACTTTGAGAGCCTCAAGGTCTTTAGCACCATTTATTTTTCAGAGCCAATTCTCTTTGGTGATACAAGAAAGGGGCATTCTGGGCAACTGAGGTCTTAGTGGAATAGGAAATAGTTTTAGCTCTCAACTGCTCTACAGGCATAACTGAGTATCATTCTCCTCTGTATTCATGACCCAGAAGGGAAATTAGCAATGAAAGCAGCATCCCTGTGGGAAAGTAGAGTAGGGTCTTCCTTGCCTGTCCATGCCTCCAGGGCACTCTCCACACCCTTCACCTTACCCTCATAGAATCCCTTCTGGCTTCAAAGTTGAGGCATTAGTCCAAGGACTGTCTCACACCTCTGAACGGCAGCCACCATGTGACTCTTCCCAGAGAGCAGAGTTAGGACTTCACAGCACAGCGATATTTGCAAAGCAGTAAGCATTCTTGTCTAGCCAGGCTTCCCAGGGAAAAGTTGGCAGTGGATGGGCACTGTGTCTGAGAAGGGCCTTCCTATACTCTTGCCTCACTGGCTGTCATTCTTCTGTGGACATCACTTTTTTTATATCTTAGATTACACTGTGTGTGCTGCCTGGGCATAATTGTGGAGGGTTCTGACCATCTCTTAGATTCCAGAGGTGGCCTGGTAGCTGTGTCTTCTTCTTCTTCCCCATTAGAAGGTATACAGGCCCCAAGGGTGCCTGAATCGGGTCTTTTTACAGGTCACTGTTCTTGCTGTAGTATCACAGCTGTTGCACAGCAGGGTGTCTGGGACTGTTTCCCATCACCCTTTTCCTCCATACTGAAGGGAAACAATGGTGTATTCAGGCTGGTGCTTTTCCTTTGCCTCTGGGTGACCACATAGCTACTGACCAAATACACAGGAGAGGTTGACGAGGCACCTGAGGCACTGTTGCTCACCATTCTTTTCCTGGTTTCATCCAGACCTTTTAAAAATCATTAGGCGCCAGGTAGTGGTGGTGCACACCTTTAATCCCAGCACTAGGGAGGAAGAGACAGGCAGATCTCTGTGAGTTCAAGGCCAGCCTGGTCTACAATGCAAGTTCCAGGACAGGCTCCAAGCTACACAGAGAAACCCTGGTCTCGAAAAACCAAAAAACAAATGAACAAAAACCATTAAGCATTGTGAGAAATTTTCAAAATGTGTATTCAGTGATCCTGCGGGGAGCCTGGGCCACCACTGCCTGCTCCTTTTTGCATCTACAGGCACCTCCACAGCCTGGGAAGGGTGGGTCCAGGCCTGGCAACATCACAGTCAGTTAGCAAGATGTCGGAATGGTTGTGCTGGGTTCAGGTTACCTAGTGGGAAAATGCCTTAGAAACAAAAGGTACAAATTGAGAGTGTCAGACTTGAGCATATATATGTGCCCAAGAACTTCAAGCCCTCTGTAGGACTTGTGGCACAGCTAGACACAGGCAATGTGTTTGACCAGACTGTCTGAGCTGGGAACAGTTTCTCTCTGTGGATCTCTGCACAGAGAAGGGAGCCTGGACTGTTGCTGCTGCTGCACCACCACTAGCCATGAGTCTGCATCTTAGTAAGGAACTTTGGATTCTAGGGATGGTTTAAAAATTAAAATTTGGGGGCTGGAGAGATGGCTCAGAGGTTAAGAGCATTGCCTGTTCTTCCAAAGGTACTGAGTTCAGTTCCCAGCAACCACATGGTGGCTCACAACCATCTGTAATGGGGTTTGGTGCCCTCTTCTGGCCTGCAGACATAAAAACAGAAAAAAAAATAAATAAAAAATAAATAAATAAATAAATAAATAAATACATACATACATACATACATACATACATAAATACATAAATAAATAAATAAATAAATAAAAATATTTAAAAAAATTAAAATTTGGAGCTGGGGAAATGGCTCAGAGTTTAAAGAACTTTCCAGCAAGCACAAGAACAGGACTTTACATCCCCAGCACTTATGTAAATGCTGGGTAAGCATGATATGGTGTGGCCCCCTTGTAATTCTAGCACATAGCAGATAGAGGCAATGGCTTCCCAAAGAAAACTAGTTAGGCTAGCTAGCTGAATCAAAATCTGTGTTCAGATGAGAGGTTCTATGTAAGGTGGAAGTGATCAAGGAAAAACACTCGAAGTTAAGCCTCATTGTGGCTTCCATGCACACATACACACTCAAATTTTTTAAATTGGTTTACAGAGTAACAATTTTCAAACATAATACAGTTAACAAAGAAGCAACCTGGTTGTTAAAAACACCTCAGTGTTTCTGTTATAGAAATTTTGGACCCTGTCTTCTTCGTGTATTCCAAAATGCTCAAATCCAAATAAGATGGAAAAGATTTCCCATAGGATTGACATCCATTACATGGAACTCAAAATCTCAAACGAGCCAAAATCCAAAATATTCTGAGCACTGACTGCCACAAGCGGAATATTCTTCAGTGAACATTCTGTGCTGTGTCTTACACTGCAGGCAGAATAAACAGGCTGTGTAAGATTATCTCTAGGCTATGTGGAGAAGGTAACTAGTACAGCACCCTCTGCAGTCAGCTCCAGGATGTGAGCAGGAGTTTAAAGTTGCTGACTAGAAGCCCCACAGTGACTGTGAGGATCAGTAAGAAATGTCAAAGCATGGTGGTTGGATACTTGGTATCTTTTCTTGAATCCATTAGCAAAACGATGAGGTAGGAGCACAGAGTTAGAGCCACATTCTATTAGCTTGCTTGTTTGTTTGTTTTTATCAGAAAGCCTGTTCTTCTCAGAAGTGGCTGTCACAAGTTTAGACATAATGACCCACATTCAAAGTAGCTGTAAGCTGCAGGTGGAACACAGGGCATGCATTACTGCTTGGTTGGAGAGAGCAGCTGGGCTCCATGGCTGTGGAGAATGGGAACTCTCCTTAGGACTTACATGTTGATGTCTGTTCTGTTTGGTAAGGTGGTACGGTTCTCAGTGGGTAGCATGCCTCTGTTCTCCTTTAAAAGAGAGGAAAGGAGAAAGCATAGGATGGCAGGAAAGATGTTGGCATCTGCTCCGGCTCCTGGTTGGATACTCTTGAGCTGAAGCTCCCAAAAATAGGTCGTGTCTATCCCAGCCCACAGCAGATGGGTTTCACTCTCCAGTCTCTCTACCCTTTGTTTCAGGATGGACTCACTCTTTCCAACTAACATGTTTGTCAGGATTTGTCCCTGTTGACAATCCAGTATGTCTGCTACTCCAGCCAATATAGGCAGTACATGTGCCATTTGGTTGTAATGACACGCAGTCCCAGAAAAAAGGGGTGTATAGCTACATACAGACTTAGTACCTGATGCTGGAAGTTCCAGCCATATCTTGAGACCGTATCACTTCTTGAACCAAGCAGGTCGCTGCCTTATTTATTACACAGGACAGACACTTGGAGGCAAAGAGAAACCAATAAGCCCTCTTCCATTCCACAGGCTACATGTGAGCGAGGCTTTGCTGCCATGGAAGAGACACACCAGAAGAAGATTGAAGACCTACAGAGGCAACACCAGCGGGAGCTAGAGAAGCTGCGGGAGGAAAAGGACCGCCTCCTGGCTGAGGAGACAGCTGCCACCATCTCAGGTAAGGTTAAATCCAGGAGCACAGGCCAAACCTATAGTTTCCTGAGATTGAAGTTTCCTCTTTGTACATGGTGGTGGGAATGGGTGGGCAGGGTCTCTATTCTGTTTGGAGAGAGGTATTAGAAGATTCAAAGTGAGGCAAGGAATAACTTGAGAAGCCTTTTGAGAGCCTCCAAACTGAGAGCCAGTGTTCCAGCTGATTGTGACACTCAGGCCCCCAACAAGCATCCATCACTTGGAGTACTCTTCACAAGAGCGTGAATATGCTGTAACACAGCCCCAGCAAGTGTGTCTCACCTATCTCATGTTGCATTCTCTTTTCATGATTTTTTTTTTCAAGACAGGGTTTCTCTGTGTAACAGCCCTAGCTGTCCTGGAACTAGCTCTGTAGGCCAAGCTGGCCTTGAACTCACAGAGATCCTTCCTGCCTCTGCCTCCCAAGTGCTGGGATTAAAGGCGTTCGCCACCACTGCCCTGCCCCTCTTTACATGATTAATGATGGTATAGTGGCTTATTTTAGCATCAGGAAAGTAAGTAACCGGCTCTAACATTCTTATTTAAAAACCCATGCATGAGTACAACATTGACATTTATTTGATCATTGTGGAGTTTTTCTAATATCATATAAACACGTCTATAGCTCTTTCAAGGGAATTAGTTTGTGAATTCTCTCAGCCTTTGTTTATCCCAGAGAGTCAGTCTATGATAGACCAACCTCCTGTGGAGTCCTACTGCTATTGAGTAGTTGGTGCCAACAGGAAGCAGGCATCACCCAACCTGCCCTTGGCCTTGTGGAGGGATAATGTAGTAGAAAGAGCCACTGTCAGTTGTAGTGCTAGATTTCAGTGCTAAGGGACTATGTCTTTTCTGCAGCCATTGAAGCCATGAAGAATGCTCACCGGGAGGAGATGGAACGGGAGTTAGAGAAGAGTCAGCGGTCTCAGATCAGCAGCATCAATTCGGACATCGAAGCTCTGAGGCGGCAGTACCTGTGAGTCACCTAGCCCTAGGAGAGCCCCATAGGAGAGGGCTACTTTCCCAAGCCTAAGACAGCTTTGAGGCTGGTCTAAGTGAGGAAATCATAGGTCTGAAACAGCCCACACTACCTTTCTCTTCGGGCGCAAACACCTAAGGGTTAATTAAGACTGATCTCTATGATGCAGAGAAACAAATGTAACAAATGATATTTAAAGACCATCATTTAAGCTAGGCATGGTGACATACATTTATGATCCTAACACTTAGACTTTAAGGATGGAAGAGTGCCACAAATCCGAAGCCAGCCTGGGCTATATATGGAGACCCTGTTCTAAAATAAAGCAAATGCCCTCTGCGTGTCAGGGCTCACTGCAGACACCATCCCCATTTGTTTGTACCATTGCTACTGTATCAGTACCTTACAAAGAGCCAGGGTCTGGCTGGTGCTTTGTGCCTGGTATACCACAACTGTTTGTGGCAAAAGTGACCAGAGTTAGTGTTCTGGAAATTTCACACATACTGACTGCACACGAAGCAGCACCACGTACATTACTGAAACAGCAACTTGTGAATTTTCCCTCAGTAGACGTCACACTGCTAGGGTTAGTTACAGGAGGTATCCATTGATTAGATTTTGCTAAGGTCTCTGGAATATGCCAGGGTCTAAAGCAACAGCTCAGGAAATCCAGTGGTCATGCTTGCTGGACTGGAGGCTCATCTGGAAGTTCCTTCCTGGCTCTCTTGGGGATTTGGCCCTTCTGGACATGGAATGCTAAAAATAGCACCTCCAGGGCAGTTTCCTGGTGCTGAATGTCTGTACTATGATGTGATACAGCACCCAAGTGGATGCTTTCCACCTCTGAGATCTCTGTGGTTACAGTGACTGACTGACTCTGCCTCCCAGTTCCATCAAGCCAGCTGTAAATGGCTCAGGAAAGACAGAGTCATTTCTGCAAAGTATTCCTGACATTCTGTGAGGAGACATTGTACTGTCAATACCCAGCTGCCAGTTCTATAGGGGGGCAGGGCTGAACATTCCCTCTCTGCAGGGAGGAGCTGCAGTCAGTGCAGAGGGAGCTGGAGGTTCTTTCGGAGCAGTACTCCCAAAAGTGCCTGGAGAATGCACACCTGGCCCAGGCGCTGGAGGCCGAGCGGCAGGCCCTGCGGCAATGCCAGCGTGAGAACCAGGAACTCAATGCCCATAACCAGGTAAGGCCAAGAGACACTAAGCCTCACCTTCATTTGCCTTTGCAGAGACTGCAAAGAGTCTCTGGTCAGGTTCATCTCAGGGTTGGGGTCTTCTTCCTCTAGTGGCTGGACTTACCCTCTCATGTTTATTTCTATAAGTCACACTCTCAGAATTCAGTGTTCCTCAGGAAATTGGGGTTCACTAGAATCCCAGCTGGCCCAAATAAATGATTGGGCTGCAATACTGAGCTCAGTATAATCTCTTCTGACACACCCTACTTTGCCTGCCTCAAGCTCTATCAGGCTTGCCTTCTCTGGCCCGTCAAGCCATTCCGGACTGTAGGCAGAACTACCTGGGGATCATGGAACCACTGCGGTGCTTGAAGAAAAGCACTTCTCAGACAGGGAGGAGGCCTGAGGAAATGGAGGGACAGCGCAGGATAGACTTTAGGAGGTCAAGTGGGACAAGATAACATTGCCCACACCAGAAGGTTAGGGTTTGGGGGTTTCTTTTGTTTTGTTTTGTTTTTATTATTGGTTATTTTGTTCTTTGTTTTTCAAGACAGGGTTTCTTTGTATAACAGCTCTGGCTGTCCTGAAACTCACTCTACAGACTAGGCTGGCCTCAGACTCACAGACCTGCCTCGCGATGTGCCACCACCTCCTGACTCCAGGGTTTTAAAGTCCTTGGAATCTTAGCTCTAGAGACACAATTGCTCATCTGCTGTGAGTTGTGAATCAGTAGATTCGACTGACCATAGATAGAAAATTTTCGGGGGGGGGGATCATTTGCATTGGACATATACTAACTTTTTTCTTATCACTACTCCCTAAATAATACAGTACAACTGGGTACTTAAGAATTACATGGCTGGGCGATGGTGGCACACACCCTTTAATCCCAGCACTTGGGCAGCAGAGGCAAATGGATCTCTGGGTTTGAGGGCAGCCTGGTCTACAGAGTGAGTTCCAGGATACCCAAGGCTACACAGAAACACAACACTGTCTTGAGAAAAAAAAGAAAAGACTTGGTATTGGTTATGAAACGTAATCTATAGATAATCGAATTATATGGGAAGATGTATGCAGATATTTTGGGGCCCTTGAGCATCCACAGAATTTGGTGCTTAATAGGGGTCCTGGAACCTAAGTTTTCACATAGCCCATATGAACAGCTTTTGTGTGGTAACAGCCTCAAATGTGGTAACAGCCTTAAACATGGTGCTGTACATGCACAAGGCTTGTGGGCTCCCTTCTTAGGTCTCTATACACTACTGGTGAAAAAATGACTTTCTCTGGTGTCCAAGCAACTGTATCTGGGCAGTCACTGTTGTGTTGTTGTCCTCCAGGAACTAAATAATCGCTTGGCTGCAGAAATCACACGGTTGAGGACACTACTGACTGGAGATGGTGGCAGCGAGTCCACTGTGTTACCACTCACACAGGGCAAGGATGCCTACGAGTTAGAGGTACTGTGAGAAGCTAGGCACTGCCTTGCCCAGTGCTCCTGAATCACACAGTAGCTCCTTAGTTTAGAGTCATTGGGGACCAGATTTGAAGATAGGGCCAGCAGGGTAGAATTCAGTAGTAGAACACTGGCTTGTCATGTGGGAAGGTCCAAAGTCATCCAGGCATAGCAAATAAGCAGGTAGTCTCGGGTCCACAGGCAAGAGCAGGGGCCCTCTAGATGACTTTCCTTTACCTGCCCACAGACTGGTTTCATAAAGTGGCCCATTTCAAGGCTACAAGAATGTTGCTGCTCTCAGATTGTTATCATGAATTGATTTCTCACAGCCCAGGATGTTCATTTTAAGTCAGAACAGCTCATTCTGCAGTAGAGTACACTTGTAATCCCAACTACTTGTGAGGCTGTAGCAAGGGGATTCCAGAGCAATCTAGAAAGAAAAGAAAAGGAGGGCTGGAGAGATGGCTCAGAGGTTAAGAGCACTGACTGTTCTTCCAGAGGTCCTGAGTTCAATTCCCAGCAACCACATGGTGGCTCACAACCATCTGTACTGAGATCTGGTGCCCTCCTCTGGCGTGCGGGCATACATCGAGGCAGAATGTTGAATACATAATAAATAAATAAATCTTAAAAAAGAAAAAACATTCTATATCTTTAAAAAAAAGAAAAGGAAAAAACAAAAAACACTGTTGAAAGAGGGAAGGATAAAGGAAAGACTCTAATGTGTGTAGGGCAGCGGTTCTCAACATGTGGGTCTCAGCATATCAGATATTTTTATTATTTGGAGGTCGCATATCAGATATTTTTATTATGATTCATAACAGCAAAATTACAGTTATAGAGTAGCAATGAAATAATGTCATGGTTGGGGGTCACCACAACATGAGGAACTGTATTAAAGGGTCACAGCATTAGGAAGGTTGAGAACCACTGGTGTAGGGCATCATCAAGAAGGCCCCCATTAGGTTAAAATTTTCCTTTATAGATCGCTCAAACTACACCATACTGACAGGTAAGCAGGAGGAACTAAGTAGGCTTGGCAAAATTTCCTATAGGAATAATATGTCTAGACCTTGGCAGCTCCTGCTGCAGGGAGCAAGCAAGAATGGGAACTCAAAGTAGTCCCCATGCCTGCGACCCCAGGTTCTCAAGACTAGGGAGCCTAGCAGAGTATTTTCCCTTCCCCATTTCTGTTAGAGGCATTGGGCAGTATTTAAATCATGTGTTCTGTTGGGTGTCATCAAGGGTGGGCTCTCTACTCCTCCCCAGTGTGCGAAGCAACTGTCTGCAAGCCAACCTTTGTATGTACAGACTACAGGATCCCTTGTTTCTGAGAGCCAGGCCTCATTTTCTCTCTCCTTATAGGTCTTGTTGCGGGTCAAAGAGTCAGAAATACAATACCTGAAGCAGGAGATCAGCTCCCTCAAGGATGAACTCCAGACAGCCTTGCGGGTAAGGGCCACATGTTTGAAGGCAGGGCAGGGCAGGGCAGGGTAAATGTTGGGAAGCCTGGCCAGGTCCCTCTGGGGGCACGGCAAGCCACTCTACAGGATCATGGTCACAAAGTGGGGTTCCCTTAAAACACCAGCATGTAAGCATATACCTTAGGAGTGAACAAGAAAGCCTCCCTGGCCTAGTCAGGTGGTGGTTGTTCCTGGGTTTCTATGCATTTGGACAGGAGCAATGACAAAGAAGAATGCCATGGAGGTGAAGTGAGGCTTGGTCTACCATTCAGGTGGGTCTAGTTGGACTGGAGTCAGAAAGAAGTGATATAATCCTTGATATCATCAGATCACTTAGAAAATCTGAAAAACACCCACAAGGAAGTGACTCGGCAGTCAGGACCACAGCAGGCTGCCTGAGCTACCCCTGCCCTAGCTGTTCACCACATGTTTTCTTTAGTGTCTTTCTGTCCTTTTATTCTCTAGGATAAGAAATATGCTAGTGACAAGTACAAAGACATCTATACAGAGCTCAGCATTGCAAAGGCCAAAGCTGACTGTGATATCAGCAGGTTGAAAGAGCAGCTGAAAGCAGCCACAGAGGCCCTGGGCGAGAAATCTCCTGAAGGCACTACTGTATCAGGATACGGTGAGCAATCTGGGTGCTACTCGTAAAGATTTTTTGACACTTGAGTCAAACCCCAAAAATTCTAATGTCCTGTGACATCCCGTATCACCTTGAGGGACCCCACATGCACAGGTTGACCCTCTCCTCCCATGTCCTGCAGCTGCTTTACAGAGCTTCTTCCATAGTAACAAGGGGTCTTACAGTCTGTCTCTGAGAAACTCCAGCAGGGAGGGGATGTTCATGCTAGTTCCTCATCTCAAATGTTTTACCATACAGTCTTTGAGGGCCATAGACAAGCAGAACAGAGGGATAACTACTACCCTCTCGAGAACAGTGGAACTGGCCTCTTTCTGTGCTGGCTGAAAATATCCAGGCACTGTGCAGGACAGACTGAAAAGAACCTGCAGAACCACATTCTTTTGGACACTTTCTGATAATTCATGATTTCATCTTACCTTCGTGGTTACCCTTTCTTTATAAAAGCCCCACAAACTGAAAAATCTGTTCAAGTCCCATAATATCCTGTAGCTCAGCTTTCCTTCACTAGCAAGTTCAGAAACAGTAACCACGACAGCCCTCACACATGCCTGCAGACAAGTCCTCTACATTGCTTGCAGGATACAAACATTCACTTTTCTGGAAGACAGCTGGCAACAACAGCACAATTTAAAATCTAACTAACTGTAAAAGGTAATTACCATAGTCACCTGGGTAGAAAACCAAGAAGCCAAGGCATTAGAAGGAGGAAGCTTTAGACTTGCCATGCTAACTAACCTGAAAAGTATGCATAGGACACTACATCTGCAGACAGGAGCCACAAGCAGCAGTCCACCACACGGTGCACAGAGTGCTGAGTGCCATCCATGGACAGCTGGGATTACTAGAAGCTGCACAGTGACAGTGTGTAGTTCTTAGGAAGACGGGGAGATATTTTTGTATTGGTGTAAAGAGAAATTGTAACATTTTCTGTATAAGCATGGAAGCCCCATACCCATGACATACTGTAGTGTGACCCAGTGTGCATCTTTGTCTTCTGTATTTAAGACACTGAAAGGACTGTGTTCTTGGTGGGGTGGGTCATGAGACAAATTTGGTCTGATTTTCTTTGATACCAATCCTATGACAGGAGTAAGCTAGAAATAATGAGGCCAGTTGATCTGCCTAGTAGTCAAGGTCCAAATCAGAAGTAAGAGATCTATCCTCTGTTGACAGTGCTGTGACTCAGGAGTTGTGATGTACAATGGCCCCAGTGCTCCGGCACTTGCTGGATTGGTTATTTACTTGGATTTAGATGTCTTGGCGCACTGTAGTAGTGGTCCTGGAACCTCCCATACATTCTGTTTGGTTTCAGAAGATTGTAGAAAGCAAAAGTAATGAGCCTTTTTGTTCCTTCAGACATAATGAAATCTAAAAGCAATCCTGACTTCCTGAAAAAAGACAGATCCTGTGTTACCCGGCAACTCAGGAACATCAGGTCTAAGGTGAGTGAGGTCCAGCTTATAGTTGAGGTGGGGCTTGAGGATACTATTAAGTCAAGCCAGTACAGGCATTAACCTACCTGTGTAGTCACCCTGTTGGGATGATTCTAGTGACTTCAAGTTCCATGTCTGTGTCTCTGTTCCATGTCATCAAAACCATCTAGGTGCCAGGGCTTCAAGCAAGACATGGAGGGATTCTGACTTAATCCTCACCTTCTGTGGGGTAATCTGACCTCTCATTAGTTCCACTGTATGTCTGTTCTCTGCACATCCCTGTCATCACACTGACACTACCAGCCTTGGAAAGATGAAGTCAATGATCCCCAGTGTGCTCTCAGATGGGCATGTCTCTGGGAGGATGGGCGGAGAGGGCCTGGCCAGCATGCTGCATTTAGAACTGATTGTGTGTGTGTCTTATTTTTGCTCTTTCCTCTGACAGTCCGTAATTGAGCAGGTCTCATGGGATAACTGAGTCGCGCCCGCTTCCAAGTCCCCTGTCGTGTAGGTAAACCACTTCTCACTCTGCCCACTACCCGCCCAGGCGGCTCTGCATGCACTGCTCACACCTCCATAGCACACCTCTGTGTAATATCTTCATTCATCCTTCTCCAACACAGACACACACACACACACATAGTCCACGTGGGATCTCAGTAACTGTCCTGGAAATTGGCACTCTAACCTCTTCACAGAGCTGAGCCTACCCAAGGCCTCCCCAGCTTGACAGGAGGGCACAAGCCAGCATGCATACTTTGTGATTTGCACGGCACCAAGTTCATGTCTCCTCTCTTGGAAATAAGTTACAGGAAGATGGCAGATACCCACTGACTCTGGCAAGGAATTTGCTCTGTGGAAGACCTCACCCATCCAGTTAGTAGCAAGGTTGCTTGGAGAGATGCCTGCATATAGAGCAGACCCTCATTGTGTTGTTCTGCGTGGAACTGATCAATACTGCATGGGCAGAATCTGAGTATTTTGTTCCTAAGGGCCTGGCGCCCTTACACATGGGGCTGAGTATGACCTGGTTTTTGTTGTTTTTGTCTCTATGTAATACAAAAGCCTCTCTCCCAATAGAAGGTAGTAGGGTTGGCCACGTTGAGGTCAATGCTAGGGATGCTGTGTTGACTTTTTTTATGCAATATTAACAGCTCAAGGAGTCTGGCTAGCTGTTCCCACTGGTAGTACCCAGGTGTCCTGGTTCATGAGCCCTCCCGCTTTCCAGCAAGGGCATTAGCTTAAGGCTCAGAGGAGACACGTTTGCCTTAGGGAAGAGTATTAAGAAAGCCCAAGAGTTTTAACATTGGCCTTTTTTTTGGGGGGGGGGGTTAGAGGTGGGGTTTAAAACGGTGTTTCTCTGTAGCCCTGGCAATCCTGAAGTCACTCTGTAGACCAGCCTGGCCTCAACAACTCACAGATCTGCCTGCCTCTGCCTTCCCAGTGCTGGGATTAAAGGCATGCACCACCATCCTATGTCATTGGTTCTTTGAACCAGTCTGGTTTTGTTTTCTCTAGTCTCAAGTTAACCTACATGCAGATGTGATTTAAGCAAGATTAAAAACTTATTTTAGGGTTTTTCCTAAAACTTTAAAAAAAAAAAATATTTTCTTTGGTGAGAGAGAAAGCCTTTCTAGGCTCATTCTTTTTGTATTAGAGACTATTTTCTCCAGCCTGGGGTTAAACTCAGTTCTTCCCCTTGAGCCCTCAGAGAGCATAGTGGTCACTGTGAATAAGTGAGGCCTGTGAGTCAGAATAAAAAGATATCCAGGAAGGACACCATGTGGAAAATATTCAGTGGGGTGTACCACCTACATATGATTTCACACAGACACACAGCTCAGTAACTAGCTAGTGGTGATGCTGGGGAACAAGGAATCTCCGTTCTAGCTAGATCTCTATAACAAAGACAGCCATAGAGAGAGAGCTATTGGGGTGTCTGTGCTTGGCAGGGACACTAGTCACACAATGCTAGGGCTCCTGTACTAAGTCTCTAGAGCCATGGTAGGTGGGTTGTTAGGAGGTCAGAGGAGACCAAAGAACTGCTTCTCACATGATTTGTTAGTATTTGCATAGTGACGTAGCTCCATCGTTGTGCTTTATATCCGGCCTCTGGGCAAGTGGAAGCCAGCCACGTATGGTGACAGCATGCCCATGTGGTCTTAGTGCACCTGGAGGTCCACCAGCCCTTTTAAGAGAGACTGGGACCTCCCTCAGGTGCTGTTCTCATTTTCTACCTCAGTCAGCTTTCATAGCACAACATGGCCTCTTCTGAGATCCAGAACAGAGAGGATTCTCCTCAGTGTTGTCATGGGCTGGGTGTGGGATGCCGAGTCCTGAAGGCCGTACCTGAGGCCAGAAAGGAGGCCAGAGACTTCAGAGAGCTGGCCCTGCCCGGGTGTAAGGGATAGTGGGTCTTGCCTGCTCTGAGAATGGTAGTAAGTGCTGTGACTGGGCTTACACCTGCCATGGAGTTTAGTTGCCATCTAGGGCCACTGTGGCTATCCAGGGCCTGCTCCAGTTGCCGGGTGGTAAGCCAAAAGACCTACGTAACTTCTCTTGGGAGTCTGGCTGCCATGGAACTACCTGAACTCAAGAAGAGGAGCGACTTGAAGGATACCCTGAAGCAGGAATTCACGTATATATGTATTCACATACATATAACTTGTTAGTATAAGAAACAATACTCATTAAAAGACAGCCTTAGCTATATGAGAACCCATCTCAAACAAACAAAAAGCTCAGTTATTATGGGGAAGATGGTAAGGGACACAAAACATAGCCCAGATTCTCCTCCATTCCTTGCTTAAAGCTGAGCCTCAACCTCCAGAAGCACCCCTGGCTTCCCATTTCCTACTACAACATGCATTCTTGGCCAGACTGAGTCTCACACCAAGGCTGATTGCCAAAAGAGTTGGTACTGAGGAACCAGAGCCAGACCTGGTTCATTGCGAGTTCTCTAAGAACTGGGGTTTCTTTTCTCTCACAGAAATGAAAGCTTTGGAAAGATGTTTAAGGAAAAAGTAGTAAATATTGTGGTCTTCGGCTAGTAAATGTCCTTTACCTTAAGAAACAATACCAAGAACACAGGAAAGTCTGTGGGGGAGGATGTTATTAATAGCTATATCTGGTGGCCCCATGGGCGGGGGGTGTTGTGTGTGTGTGAGTGTAGAATGTTGATAGCTATAACTGTAAATCTGGTGGCCTCATCAGAGATGCCTGGGGCAGAGCTGTAGAGATATGGTGCCACTAGGGTGTCCCAGAAGAGAGCACCTGTCTTAAGGCCATGAGTTCATGAAGACAAAGAAATAAGACATGAATACTCCCTATGCAGGAGAGTGACAGGTGGCCAGGTTTCCAGTTCTCAGCCCAAGTTTTCCATGGTTTGGTCAATCTGAAGAACCAACCCTAAGGTCAGAGTTGAACTATGTAGACACATGATCTTGTTTCTCTTTATTTTTCCCTTATCTCACCCAAGTAAATTTCCACAGGAGAAAGCAAACTCCAGTAACACTACTTCTCAGGGCCTTCTGCCCTCGCATGCCCACTAATCTCAGGATCCCTCAGCCTCGCACCTGCACCTACTCCTGAAGCCCAACTGCCTCTGCTTCACCAGAACCTAATTGCTTCTTCCTGCTGTCTCCACCAGAGTCTGAAGGAAGGCCTGACGGTGCAGGAACGCTTGAAGCTCTTTGAATCCAGGGACTTGAAGAAAGACTAACTGCATCCTGTCCCACCTGACACATCCTTCCAGTTGGTGGCAGCACAAGCCCAGTGTGGCTTTCATTTCATCTGTGCTTTTCACTGTTGCCATCATTAACTGTGGGTATGGATGCATGAGAGACTGCTGTGTGGGGTAATTTGCTCCATCCCTTCCCTGTTGATTCCAGCTTATTGTCTGTATCACAGCTTTTCCCATGGTATTCTCGGATTAGTCACACTCAAGTAGCAGTGGGGAGGGCTCCCCACTGACATCTGAGCAGGACCCCTGTCCTCCACCACACTCACTGTCAGTATTAAGGCACAGCAGCCTGTTAATAAGCTAGCCTGCCTCAGATTACACATGTGGGGACCTGCCATTGGCTCTGCTCTACCACACACAGCTGAGCACCACCCCTGCTGGTTAGAGCAGAACTGCTGAATGTTCTAGTCTGGCCTGGTTGTGGAGGGGCCTTGGATAGTGTCCAGCCTGCCCCCCATTTCCTTTCAACCTGAGAGGACAGCATTTTGTATTTGGCCCACTGATGCAGCTTATAACCATATCCCAGATAATCCTGGCAAATCTTTCACAACCTGGAAAATGTTGAAAGCAACCAATCCTATTTTGGTTTTTTATTAAATCTTGCACAAAAGCCCCGGCCCCTCTCATTCCTTCCTCCGCTCGTGCCTCCCTTGCTATGATAACCCTGGTCTATTGGTGGCTAGGAATGGTGACCTGCAGCCTGCACCTTCAGGCTTGTCAAGTATGATGATCCTTCCCCAGGCCATCTAGAGGAGAGAAACTGCTGGGTTTTAACCTGTCTGAAAAGAAGTTGTCAATGTTGCATGGGGAAGGGATGAGAGGAGACCTGTTGTCAGGGCAACATGCTTGTGCTCAGGACTCCAGTCTGAGCTCTGGGAGGTTCCCTTGAGGTGTCTGCTTCTCATGGAGCCATTACAGGGAGCCTGTGCTAACAAGTTTGCTTTTCTAGCTAGCTGAACAGGACCTTTCAGACTACCCAAAGCATTCTATGTTGTTTCCTTAAAATTTCTGTTCTCATTTAAAAAAAGATCATACTATAAGATGCAGCACACAAAAGAGCCCCATGTCAGATCCCACTGTCCTCAGTCCCAAATCCCTGGCTTGAGTTTCCATTTTGTGTTGAGTGGGTCAGATGGTCTCTGGGTACACAAGTTCAACTCATGTATGAATCCCTTCCGTCAGTTCTACAGGAGTTGATGTTCAAGGCCATCCAGTGTCCAGCTGGCCTTGAAGTAGACAGGCAAAACCCCAAGATACCTGCTTTATGACATATCCAAGTGCACTGCTGGCCAACAGACAAGCCCTGGGTACATCCCCTTTGCACAGATTTTTAAGTTCCTCATTGGCACATGCTGCTCAGTTATCATTTATGTTTGCAGCATTGGGCAAGTCAGATCAGTTGAAAACAAGTTGCTGCTGAAACAGTGTTTTGAGCTCAGAGTGGTCCACACAGTAGTATGTGCGTGGCTGGGATTCAGGAGCTATAGTTTTGTGTTGAGGACCACTGTTCTCTCTGGTGTGGTTCCTTTACAATGTCCTGCTGCCCTTGGGACTCTGTGGCCCCAGTGAAATCATCTTCCTGCCGTGCCACAGAGCCTTCTGAAGATGACAAGCCTACACAGGTCAAAGAACCTCAGAACTCTTGGACATGACCTTTGCTAAACACAGTACCTTTGAGTCAGAGACAAGGGTTGGGAGATAAGCTGTACCTATCTCATCTGCCACTCACGCTCCCACTGAAGGCTCACTTTTGCCACGATACAGTTAACTTTGCTCTAGGGCTGATTTCATGTATAGGTGTTTGGTGTATTGACCAGATACTGAACTGACAGTACAAGGATGCCTGGATCATCTCCCACTCTCCAAGCCACTCTGAGCAGTAATGTGAATCAGGGTGTATCTTGAGTTTCTTGGCAGTGACTTCTGGCAGAAGTGAACCAGGAAAGAAGCTGGTCTTCTGTGTCCCTGGTGGCCATGCAGGCCCACTGCAGCATTTTATTTGGCCTGCTGCTGTCCTCTGTCAGTTCCCTTCCCCCAGACTGTGCCAGGATCACTTTTGCCTGACCTCCTTAACAGGCATCCCATTCCCTGGAAAGAAGCTGAAGGTGGTGTATTCCAGAGAGGAGGCATCAAATGTACAAGTAGAGTTGGTCCGGACATTAGTAGAAGACGATGCTTGCTGAGTTTGGAGTAGTGTAGCTCAAGAAGCCTCAAAGCTACTCCCAGCCCAAACATCAGTGGCATGCTTTCTCCGTTTCATGTTGGGAGCAGCATTAAAATTTATTCCAGAATTTTATTTTCTTGTAAATATACATATGTAATCTGCCAGCATCTGCAAGCAAACTGCCATTACAGGGAACCTACCTGACATCATTAGACAACCAATGTGAGCACATGCTTAAATTACATCCTGCACATGTGTGGTGCCCAGCAGCTGAGCAGAGAGCATGTTTGTCACACGGGGCTGCAGATTTTCCAGTGTGGTTGTGTCCACAGAGCCAGGGCCATAATGGGAAGCCCATTGTTTCAGGCATACCAGAAGAGGTCAGGACCTCATGAAGTAGGGAAATCCAGAAGGAAGAAGGCTGAGAATGTGTAAATTCACTGAGAGAAAGCTAAAGTCAGAGTTGACCCTCTACAGGATCCATCAGAACAGTACTGAACTGTATGTAGTGGTGTATGTCTGTACTCTTGCACTAAGGGCTCCAAGTTCCAGGTCAGTCTGGACTATGTAACAAGGTTCTGACTCAAAATACAGATGGGTTAAGGGTATGTACAGCTTAATAATCATAGAACCACCTACCTAGCCTAGGGTTCAACTATAGCATTACAAAAAACATACTTGTGAACTTCAGAACATATGTCAAAAAGGAGCCTGAGAGATTTAACTAGGAGAAAACTGGTGTGAAAGATGTTTGATGGGATGTATACTACTGTTAACTTCCCTACAAAGGGTGCACTGACTTCTACCCTGGAACTATAGAGAACTCCTCATTGCTGGCACTTATCTGGTGCTGAGGAAAGTGGCTGGATACTGCATAGCCTGCACTGTTTGTGTGAACCTGCAGGCCTGTCCCACACACCAAGTGGTCTTTCTTCTGACCTCCAACCATACCCTGGCTCCCAAAAACAGGCTGGATTAAGCACACAGAGGTCCCATGCATCCTGACATCAGGGAGAACTCTGGAGTTTCCCACTCCTGCCTCCATGTATGTATCCAATGCAAACTGCACACCAAAGTTGGCTGGCAGCTACAGGCAGACTCAGCCCCCAAATGCACAAGCATACCCAGTCCCCACTCTGCTGGTGGAGGGGACAGTTTCCTTCCAGCTGACTGGCCTACACCTTGCAAAGCACTATAGACTACCAGTGCAGGGATGTATACAGCCTTTCCCAAGGGAGCACTCAGCCTTTCCTATATATCAGCAATTAACATTAAGTATTTCTGAGACATGATACAGAGATTTCAGTGCCACTTTTTTTTTTAAAAAAAAAAACATCTTGTCTAGACATCCCTTTAGGGGGTGTATAGGGCAGTGTTGGATTCAGTGCAAACCCCACTCAGACATCAGAAGACCATGAGTTAGTGAGCTATGGTAGCTCACACATTCAATCCAGCACTTGGGAGGCAAAGACAAGCTAAGTTTAAGGCCAGCCTGGTCTACATAATGAGTTCCAGAAGAGTCAGGGCTACACAATGAAACCCTATCTAAAAATAACCCAAACAACAAAAAAGAATGAGTTATTAACTAGTCTTTTTAAGGGCTTTGCAGAGAATACCTGACCCACACTTGTAGCAAGCCCTTAGCAGTGCCCTGGTTTTTACCCAAAGTTCTCAGAGACTCCGGTAGTGTCACTCAAGAAAAAACAGGACTACCTGAGGCACTTTTGGCACCCAGCCTTCATGTTTCTTAGTGTTTTTGTTAGGGGAACTGGCTGGGGTCGTAAGTCTGGGTGCCTAGCTTCTGATAGAAGTGCAGGGCTGGGCTGTGCAGGAGCAGCCTGGCCATCAGTCTCTATCTAGCTGCCTGACTGTGTGTGTGTGTGTGTGTGTGTGTGTGTGTGTGTGTGTGTGTGTGTGTGTGTGTGAGAGAGAGAGAGAGAGAGAGAGAGAGAGAGAGAGAGAGNTGTGTGTGTGTGTGTGTGTGTGTGTGTGTGTGTGAGAGAGAGAGAGAGAGAGAGAGAGAGAGAGAGAGAGAGAGAGAGAGAGAGCGCGAGCGAGCTGGAGTCCAGGAAGCTCCTGGTTATATTTCTGTGACACTGGTAAGGAGCAAGCCCCATCAGTAGAGAGTTTAAAAACTGGACAGCTCAGAACTGAAGGACTTCAGGGCCTCTCCAATTTCTGTGGGTCACAGGTGGGCCTGGCACAGCTTCCATGGCCACCATCATTTGCTGTAAGACGTGCAATTATAAGAATCCAAGCTGAATCCCACTCCAGCTTGCCAGTCAACATGCCCTTGGCTCATTTCTGCTTTAGAAGTTAGTCGTACCACACATCTAATTTTATTTTAGCTAGGAATAGATCGTAAAGAACACTAAACTCAGTATTAGTTTCTATCACAAACTTCAATTTAAATCACTGTAAGCTTTACCTTTGGTTTTAATACCAGGATTCAAAACCAGTTCTGTGGTACTTAACCAGTGTGGCTTTCTGTAGGTGTGCTGTGTACAATATATTGTAAGTATCACAGTCACAGTGGCTCCTTGACAATCAGAACTTTAGGTGACCTCCCACTACAGCTGCTTGATTGGGGCTGAGGTACATGTCTGTGTACAGAGCACCACACAGGGCCACTTGGCGGCAATCACAGGCTTGTGCCATCTCACCTGGTATTGAATTTCTGTTCTGATACAATTTGGTCGCCAGACTAAATATTATATGTAGAAGAAAATGGAGCCTCACTGAGCCAGGGAGGCTGTGAGCACAGCTGTTCAGAACCAGTTTAGGCGTCAGTGTATGTGCACAGGGTGTGGCCTTCCTCCAGATAAAGTATCCCCTAACTCAAAGTTCTTACGGTCCAGTGTGAGGTGTTCACTACAACTGAAATGTTAATTTGTAGAAATATTTATTCCTTTGTGTGACAAGCTAGAGTCCGTGGCTGTAGCTAACCATTTTTATTGTGTAAATACTGCTTGATTTTACATGAACTGTATCATAATAAACTATTTTTGCATTGCCCTCTGCATGCATATGGGTGCTGACTCAGCCGGGTGAGGACCAGAACACCTAAAGTCCTGAGTCATAAGCTTTCTAGTATCCCAGAATGGGCTGGTCGTCTAAGTTTTATCACTTGCTGCTTTCCTTTTACAGTTTCTCAGAATATTTTTGTTTTCAGGATATTTACATTAGATTTCACATTTTCACACATAAGTCACAATATTTTATGTCTATAATCTAAGGTACTTTGACTTGGTAAAGAAACTTCAGGGGTTAAAATAGGAAAAAAGTCCAGTGAGAGTCCCTTTATTAATCAAGGTACTAGAACTGTCGTATTAGATAGAGCTCTCGTGTTTTGTTTTGTGGTGCTGGAGCTGAAACCCAGGGCCTCAAGAATGCTGGACAATCCCTCTACCGCATGAGCCCTGGAGTTAGAGCTCAGGCCGGCCTCATCTTCAGTTCACTGAGCACCAGTGTGCAACACTACATCCAGCCCGTCCTACATGGATTTACTGTCAATATAATTATGCCTGTGTTTTTTAAAGTATCATAATCTAAAATAGACAACACAAAATTTAACAAAACAGTGTTCGCTAATTATGGTATATTCTTGATGTTTGCTGTATCTTCTTTAGTATACTTAGAATAATAAATCGGGCCAAACAGAATGGCAGCCAACCTGATGTTCTGATGTAAGAGGATTCAGAGTTTGAGGCTAGCCTGGGCTAAACAGAAAGACCCTATCTGTCCCCCATAATAACCCCTCAAAAGGTTAAAATAACTGGGGTGGGGTTTTTTTCCAATATTGTTACAGGCTTTATTTAAAAAGTATATGAAACTGACAGGAAATACAAAAAAAGTTTCTATACCAATTAGAAATCAACTTTAGTTTATGTTATAAAACAGTAAAAGAAAGATATAAAAAGACATAAAAGAATATTTTTAGTATGTTATTGCAGTTGTTTAGGTACTTTTCAATAGCTTTTTGCCCATTAAAAACTATAAGAAGGGGCTGGAGAGATGGCTCAGAGGTTAAGAGCATTGCCTGCTCTTCCAAAGGTCCTGAGTTCAATTCCCAGCAACCACATGGTGGCTCACAACCATCTGTAATGAGGTCTGGTGCCCTCTTCTGGCCTGCAGGCATACACACAGAAAGAATATTGTATACATAGTAAATAAATAAAAAATAATTAAAAAAAAACTTTAAGAAAATGTACACCAAAAAGCTTTGGGGAACTAGCCTGATATGTAAGTACAATTTAAAATTAGTTAGCAAGCTGATCACTCTTTCGTGACTAAAATTTTAAAAATAGCTGGGGGGGGGGGGCTTTAATCCCAAGCACTTAAGAGGCAGAGGCAGGTGGCTCTCTGAGTTCAAGGCCAGCCTGGTCTACAAAGTGAGTTCCAGAAGAAACAAAATCAAAAACCAAGAACAGAAAAGAATCTCCCACCCACCAAACTGATCACAGTAATAAAAGACTGACATTTCCCTAGCATCGGATCCCACTGAAGACATCGGATCTAGCCCAGGCAGTTCATGAAGAAAAAGGCACTCTGACTGAAAGAAGGAAAACTCCTTTTAGGTGACATCTGTCTGTGGTGGGTCTCATAAACCGGGGTGCATATCAACATATCAAAGAGGATGCTGGCTGGCTCCCTGCCCCCATCACTCAGTACCTATGGCTCCTCCCAGCACTTCTCAACCTGCTCTACCCTAAACCTTCCCTCCCAAGGGTTGGGTTTCCACTTCCCTTCTCCCAGCCTGACCCCTGTATCTCAGCCATTTTGGTTACTCTGGTCTTGGTCTCTTGGTCAGTGGCTCATCATGTTTAGTCTGCTGGTCATGTTCAGCCTGGACTCCCCTTCTGCCTGCCTTCTTCAGACCTACAATAAAAATATTCTCCATACTTAAGGAGTGGTCATGGCCTCCTTTCAATTTTTCATTCAGTTAATACTACTAAAAAAGTTAGGATGCAGGGCTCAGTTGCATTCTACACAGTAGTTCTGAAGACTGGGAAGTTAGGATGCAGGGCTCAGTTGTATGTCTACACAGTTCTGAAGACTGGAATAATTAAGCAGTTTCATTTACAGTAACATGAGTAATAAATCATACTCAAACTACAAACATTGATATAAGATACTCCAGCCCGAAAAAAGAAAAGAAAAACTAGATGTAAAAGACTTAACTATCAACAAAAATTCTTCAAAAGACAGGAAAAAAAAATTTTCTAGACTACCAAAGGACCAAAGTTCTGTAGAAAACATTAAGACAAAATGCAAGCCTCAAGTGTATTGAACAGCCCTGGGCACTACCAATAAATTTAGCCCAAAGATGGGAAAAGAGGAAAAGGAGAAACAAATAGAGTTCATGCTAAGTACTACTGTTAATCCCAACTCATCTCAGTCCCTTTTCCAAATTGGTCATCCATGCCCTCTCGCAGGCTGGAAGCCATTTCTTAACTTTCCTAAGGTGTTTTTCTTTCACTTGTGATTCCAAGAACGTGGCTACCTTCTAATAAGAGTTATGTCATCTCTCTGATGTGTAATTACTTTTGTATCTCCTTCGCTACCCAGTAAATTTGTGAGTGAACAGAAAACCTAAAAGCATCAAGAGAAATTAAGGGTATCCACACTCGTGGGTCAGAAAATTCAAAATGGTAACCCCAACTTAATCTACAGGCCAACATAATCCCTATCAAAATCCTACATGCTTTTATAATTTTTACCAGAAATTGGTGTGTTCATTTTAAGATTCACATGGAGATGTAAAAGACTAAGACTATATTGGAAACAGGATTCATGTTGCCATTTCTCAGAACCTACTGCTGTTCTTACTGATCTAGACCGCCGCTGCTGTTCCACACTCAGACAATGCAGAACCCAGACATAAAGTGAATGGTCAGTTGATTTTCATTCAGCAAAGGTTTTAATGCCATTTCTTAGGGGAAGATTTTTTTTTTTTTTTTTTTTTTTTGGATTTTTCGAGACAGGGTTTCTCCGTAGCTTTTGGTTCCTGTCCTGGAACTAGCTCTCGTAGACCAGGCTGGCCTCACTCACGGAGATCCGCCTGCCTCTGCCTCCCGAGTGCTGGAATTAAAGGCGTGCACCACCACCGCCCGGCTGGGGAAGATCATCTTAAAATGGAACTGAGATGAATGAGACACCCACGTGTACTATTATGCCCTAGGTGTGATAGTACATACATGTAATCCCAGTACTTAGAGAGTATAGGTAGGGGGCTGGAGAGATGGCTCAGAGGTTAAGAGCACTGCTGCTCTTCCAGAGGACCTGAGTTCAATTCCCAGCAACCACATGGTGGCTCCCAACCATCGGCAATGAGATCTGGTGCCCTCTTCTGGTGTGCAGACAGAACACTATGTATAATAAATAAATCTTTAGGAAAAATAAAAGTGGAGGCAGGAATATAAGGCCAGCCTTAGAGCCATACTGAGTTTGTGGCCAGCCTGGTCTACATAGACAGTCTCAAATCAAGCAAAAGAAAAGAAAAGAGTGTATGATGTAATATCTCTTTACAACTGCAAAGCTATTTAGCCCCTGACAGCCACATGCTGCCATGTGGATACCAGCCTTCCCTGGAAGGGATGGAGATAGGAATCAGGGAAGACACACACCATCAGGCAGATGACAAAGAGAAACAGGCTAGGAAGTATGCTTCTAATTTTGGAGGTATGGAAATAGTACCAGAGAGGAGTTAACCAGGAGGTGGCTGTTGCTCTCCCAAGGACTCCTATCCTCATCACAGATGTCCAAATAGCTGTATACAACCCTACAATGTTTTAAGAATATGCAGTAGGCTAAGGCAGACAAGTAACAGTTCATATTCTAAAATATTTATTGAATATGCCAAAGTTCAAGGTCCCTAATGGCATTGTCACTCAAAGGACATTTTGTTATTTTCCCCCACCCTCCACCTGAGCACACACTTAAGAACTCACAAGCTCCAGAAGGCAAGGAACTTCAACATAACTACTTCTGAGTATACTTTACAGTTTCTGTTCCAGCTTGTGGAAAATCAACATCAAGTTTACTTGTCTAACACTAAGTAAAAAGGTAACATTAAAAAGGGTGAAAATACTGGGAATGGTGGCACATGCATATAGTACCAGTACCTGAGGCCGAATCAGGCAGATCTCTCTGAGTTGAAGACCAGTCAGGGCTATATGGTGAGACCTTATCTTCCCGCCTCTTTCCCCACAAAAAAAAAAAAAAAAAAAAAAGGAAACACGTATTGAGCAGTATCTGCTGCTAATGTTTCCATGAGCTAAAGAACACTATCCACTCAGACTGACATTAAGGGGCCACATGGAGCTTGTCATGTACACAAGCATAAACAATGACAAAACTCTAGCTCTTATGTCACTTGAGCTATTTGCATATAAAACCAAAAAATGTAGAAAATGACACAAATGCATATGAGAAACTTATTCCTCTGACTCCCTGGGAATGCTCACCCCAGGGCTGAGATGACAGCCTGGGCAGTTCTTATTACCTCCAGTACTCCCAGTCATCAACTCCTGATCATGACTGAGCAAACAGCCATGAGTCCACGGGTGCTGGAAGCAAGGGCACTTCTCAGTCCACAGTTTGCTCCTATGTTATGGGGTATGAAAAATTAGAAGCAAAGCCTAGAGACAAACTCAGGCATAGCCAACTGGTGGTGCTCACTTGTGACTAACTGCAAGGAGGCAAGGCCAACTGCAGAGAGTCAATACTATCAGACATGTCTAGTGAAGCCCAGAAGCCACTTAAAGAGGATGGCCTGTCTATGTAGGCAACTACTGCTATAGGACAGCCTACAGCTCACACTGTCGCCTCCTCCCTGACTTCTGATGGCGATACAAGGACAGGAAGACTTTATCAGCCTAGTGCATCCAGGACTGCAAGCTGGAAGACCGAGAAAGACAGAGCAGGGTCAGTGCCCTCGCTGCTTTTGGGGGAAAAAGCTGTACTTGGTGGGGTCAAATTCTTCCCAGATGCGCTCAAATTCCTCCAGGAACAGC